CTATTATACCCCATGGTCGCTTTGCAATGCAGATTGCCCTCAAACAAGGCAGTCCGCAAGACTACGGCCTAGTGGAATTCGAAACTGCGGAACAGGCTGAAATCACCGCCGAGCTCCGCCACGGCGCCCCGTTCCGCAACAGCAAACTCAGCATCTCGTACTTCATCCCGGGCCAGCGTGCGATCAATATTTACATGAAAATTTTGCACGATCACGTGAGTTTTCATCCCATTTTCCTCACCGGAAAAATCCCCTCCGGTTTTCAGGCGAGAAGAAAAAAAATATTGCGAAGGGTTTCTTGAAAGTACCGACATAAAGTTGAATTGCTGGCGGATAAAAACCTGGTCGTCAATGTTGAAAAATAAAAATAAAGGGGCGTCATTCCCTAAAAAAAACTATATAACCTATAGGTACTATCATGTCTTGGAAATGGTTCAGACTTGAGAGGGAAAACTCATCAGGAAAAATTGAAATGAAATTCGCATGCTTTGGATTTTATATTTAGTGATAATTTTATCCATCATTTTACCAGGAATTTGAAATAACTGCTCCACGCATTCTCGATGTTCTTCAGCAGCTTAATTGATCGAGAGCGCTTTCCGATCAGAGGTTTCCGATTTATTTATTTATTATTGCTCACATCACAAGATTATAAACAATGTTTTAATTTTAAAGTCATATGTAAATAGTTTTAAGCCTTGAGGCTGTTTCTGAGCAGTGTTCTAATTTTTTTTTGCCTTTTCGTGACTGACAGACCACCCAGGAAGTCATAAAAAATGAACACGAGCATCTTCACCTGCGTGATATCCGTGTTACGCGCTAACCTGATTTTCAAATTAATTCGTTTCACGTGTTCTTCTGAAAGAAGTCGGTCATTTTTTCCAGGAAATTTTTAGTTTAATAGTCACCCTTGAAAAGAGGGAGGGAGTTTTTTTGTGTGCCTTTTGTGAGGCTTTCAAGAAACCCCTGGTATGTCCGCCGTTTTTGTCGCACTCTCTGGTATTTTGAAATATCTGCGTTATACTCTTCGTTCGCTTCCGTTCGTCAAAGTTAACAGGGGATGAGAGATTCCGCAGAAATTTGATAAAGTGTCGTGGAATTGGAATTGAAAACCTACCCGGAAATGGTTTTACCGCGTATTAGGCTCTCAATTACAGTACTTTATTTGTTTGTCGAACTTGATCCCAGGGTGCGATACGAGCCAATGCCGCATTGTTGCCTGACCCGACTGCGACTTCAGTTGCTGAGAGCATGGCAAACATGGCGAGGAATAATCCTACTTGTGAGTATACCACCTTTTTTTTTTGCTGGGACAGGCACTTTGTCTCATTTTTTTTCTGCAAAAATCGTGAGATTAATTCAGCCAGAAGTACACTTGGTATTTTCACCGAAAATCTTAACTACATCCCCGTCCAGCATCTCAAAAGACGCTTAGTGTGAATTTGGTGTGGCTGATTTTAATACCGCAATCAAGCGAGACGCATGGCGCTAGTTAAGTTTCTAAACGAAGCAAAAAGTCGGGAAGTCTGGCTTTTTTTTTACGACGGCTCAACTGTTTTTTTTTCGCTAGTGAAAATAAAGGCTCAAACAGAGGCTAAACCACCGTCCGAGAAATTTGAAACGGTGCTTATCGTCGAAATCTCTTAAACCACGATGCTTGGCTATAGTGCGAAAAGAAATATTGTTAAAAAAAATTTTTCTGAAGAAATTTACTTTGTAAGCAATATCGTGATAGCATTAAAAGCCTTTTAAGAAGGACATTTTTCAATTGCTCTCTCACGTCTTCACTCTCAACTGTCAGATGTTGAATTTTACGTATTCTTGTTCAGCTTATCCTCAGTTTTAGAAAAAATGGTTGAGTTCGCAAAGTTTGGTTAAATTAAGTGTGTTTTGAATCATTCCGTAAAGTAGCATTTTGGTGGTAATTTGAATAAGCCCTCGACTATAGGATGCTGCCTGATTTTTTTTTTTTCAAGTCTAAATTGCAAGAAATAAAGGCTATATTCGATTAAAGGTAGTATTTACTCTAAAAGTGAAATATTTCAAGGATCTATTCCACCAAAATTCAAATTTAGCCATGAATTGATCCTGAATTCAACTAATTTTCCATTATTTTCATTGCATTACGTTTTTCCGTTAAAATTGGTCCGAAATTTCCCATTAAAATCGAATATAATGTAAAGCTAAGCTTTTATACCTGTTTGAAAAATGTATACCCGTCTATGAGGTGCAACCCCTTTTTTCTCTCAATTTGAAAAAAAGGTGCGCGTGGTAGTCAAGTAAAAACGGTAATTCTTATAGTGCACATCATGCGCATTTTATTTTTTGTGAAGGGTTCTGTCGAAGGTGGTGGATCTCTTCGGATCTATTAATGCGTTTTCGCCGTGTCTTTCGAACAGTTGCGAGCAATCTCACGAGCATAATCTTGAATGAGATCCAAGACATCCAAGAAGGAGCCTTCAAGACCGTCCTTCTCAGTAGGCCTTTGGGGCTGTCGCCCTTTACCTTTCCAAGAGCAACCCCAAGCGTGCCCTTGTTCGTTCCCGTCCCCAAGCCGTTCTTGGTAGTGGTGGTTATGGTGTTGGTGGTACCGCACAAATCCGTGAGACATTTCTTCAGAATTTATTTGTTTTTTTATTTTATTTTTAGTTTTCGAGGGTTTGATTTGGATTTATTTTTTTATTTCGTCATAGAATAATGTGGATAAACCCAGTGACATGTTCGACGGCGATCAGAGTGTCTCGGACTTCACCTCTAACGGAACGGTGAGTTTATATTGTCCTACAATGAATAAACGCCGTGGATCTCAAGTGTCGAGATTCATCTGTGCTTCGTGATTCCATCAAATTTTTTTTTTTGCAAAGCATTATACGCAGCCGAATTTGCCTACCTGTCCAGCTAGCGAAGAGGAAACAAATTAGTTTTTCTGTCTTTCTGTCACATCTTTGTTTCACACTCTACCGCAAACATGTTTAGCTCAGCTCTGATAATCTGGCTTTTCTTTTCTATATTTACAGCATGAGCACATTTTAGCAATTTTGAGGGATAATTGATCCTGAAATGAAGAAATATCGCGGTTATGAATCTAAGATTACCCAGCGTGCGTGAAACTAACTATTTATAATCCTTGGTTGGCATCAGAAGATTTGCTGATAATCGTATTGTAATTTTTTTAGAATTAAACTGTCGATGAACAAAATTATGTTCTTCGCATAAAAATTGGAAAATTGTTTTGAATATTTTCAGATGGTTTTCGTTAGAGTCGGAATACAAAATTACGTAAATGCAATCTTACATAAACACCATGAATGCCTTATTTTAATTGACACGTAATTTGTGTGACTACATTAAAAAATCTTTATAAGACAGCCACTTGATCAAAAAAGATCCTAAGGAGGTCTCATCTCGATACGAGTCTATTCAGCTCCCTGGTGAACCAAACCCATCTTTGGTCCAGTGGGTAATGAGATCATGCTGATAAAAACTCGGAGATGATGAATGAAAAACCGGTTTTGCTGTTCTTCGTGACCTCGGAAGTAAGAAACTATAGGAACGACCTCGATCTTCAATTAAAAGTGCGGATTGAATTCCAAATACAGATCTGAATTTTTCGACAGAATAGCTCAACAGGTTATCACGGAAGTGAGTCTTGAAAACTCCAAAAAAAATTCGATAAATTCAGAGCTTTTATGTAGATTTAAAAATCGCTGGAAGGATCGTGACAAATATATTTTATGGATTCGTTGTCCGATTATTTTTGCCTGCAGTTCCGGAAAAATCTATCTTTACTTTGTATTTTCATTATACTGAATTGATTTCCCACGGGTTTAATTGATTCTCGACTACTTTGAAGGCATTTTCAGCTGTATTAATAAAAGAACTGAAGTACTGTGCTGTATTCTACTAGTGCCAATTGTGGCGCTGTTTATTCAACTGTCTAATTAGAGTATTCAGTGCTATTTTCAATTTCTGGGGGCTCACTGGAAAATTGTGGCAAAATCGGGCTGGAACATTCTGGAGAGAAAAATATTTCATTTGAAATTATGAATCAATAATGAAGTATTGTTTTAAATAATTTGTTTTCTAGTGAAAATTTGATTTGTACTCGCAACTCAGACAACTCCCTATTGCCGCACAAATTTTAAAGAAAATTTACGGAATATGCTTTTCTGATTTAATTTAAGAATTTAAATGTCCTGGGTGGAAATTTTCTCTGCAAATTGATTCGAATTACCTCTTGAGGTTAATCTGGAATACACTACACTACTACTGTACATTATTTTCAATATATGCTGAATTATTTCGGGAAAACAAATCTTGCGTTACATTCGAGCATAAAATGCGGTATTCATTTCCGCGTGTTCTTCTTCTCGCCGGGCAAAAAAAAAAAAAAAAAAAAAAAAAAAAAAAAAAAAAAAANTCCTTGGTTGGCATCAGAAGATTTGCTGATAATCGTATTGTAATTTTTTTAGAATTAAACTGTCGATGAACAAAATTATGTTCTTCGCATAAAAATTGGAAAATTGTTTTGAATATTTTCAGATGGTTTTCGTTAGAGTCGGAATACAAAATTACGTAAATGCAATCTTACATAAAGTGGTACTTACGGAATAAAATTAACTGTGCATTAAACACACTGATGTAATTTTTTAGAAATATTCTGTCGGTGAACTAGTTTTTTCTAGGATTCCTCCAGAGTAGAGCTATGCTCAGATAAGTCGAGACATGGCCTGGTGAACCAAACCCATCTTTGGTCCAGTGGGTAATGAGATCATGCTGATAAAAACTCGGAGATGATGAATGAAAAACCGGTTTTGCTGTTCTTCGTGACCTCGGAAGTAAGGAACTAAAGGAACGACCTCGATCTTCAATTAAAAGTGCGGATTGAATTCCAAATATCTGAATTTTTCGACAGAATAGCTCAACAGGTTTTCACGGAAGTGAGTCCTGAAAACTTGGAAGAAATTTCGATAAATTCCGAGCTTGCATGTAGATTTTAAAATCGCTGGAAGGATCGTGACAAAGATATTTTATGGGTTCCTTGTCCGATTATTTTTGCCTGCAGTTCCGGAAAAATCTATCTATACAGTACTTTGTATTTTTATTTATACTGAATTGATTTCCTACGGGTTTATTTGATTTTCGACTACTTTTAAGGCATTTTCAGCTATATTAATAAAATAACTGAAGTACGGTATTCTACTAGTGCCAATTGTGGCGCTGTTTTCTTAACTGTCTAATTAGAGTACAGTATTCAGTGCTATTTTCAATTTCTGGGGCTTCACTGGAAAATTGTGGCAAAATCGGATGAACGTTCTGGAGAGAAACATATTTCATTTGAAATTATGAATCAATAATGAAGTATTGTTTTAAATAATTTGTTTTCTGAGTGAAAATTTGATTTGTACTCGTAACTCAGACAACTCCCTATTGCCGCACAAATTTTAAAGAAAATATACGGAATATGCTTTTCTGATTTAATTTAAGAATTTAAATGTCCTGGGTGGAAATTTTCTCTGCAAATTGATTCGAATTACCGCTTGAGGTTAATCTGGAATAAACTACACTACTGCATTATTTTCAATATATGCTGAATCATTTCGGGAAAAAAAAATCTTGCGTTACATTCGAGCATAAAATCGGTATTCATTCCCGCGTGTTCTTCTTCTCGCCGGACAAAAATAAAAAACATATCTTCCACGGCAGTTGATTCGTCAAGCTGAATCTCGGCGGTAATCATCGTGGTATAGAAGCTAATACCGTGTTTCTGGTTTCACTCGGAAGTCTGTTTATTTTCTTCTGTTTTTTTTGTTTTTAAATGGAACATTCGGTCGACCGTTAGACCTGCATGCTGATGCCGCAATTAACCTGACCGCGTTTCTCGCGGCTCTCCTTTACAGATGTTCCAGGAAGCGCTCGCGGGCCCGCCGATCGTTGCCGGCGGCGGCTGGCCGCGATTGGGCGGCGCGGCGCCGCCGCCGCCGCCGCCAGCAGGCAACGCTAGTGAAGCGTTCCTCAACAGCCTGCTGGAGGCTGCAGCCACTTCGGCGTCTCATCCGCCACAGCGTGGCCTTGATGGGGCCGGGAAACCGCGGAACGGAACGGTCGGTGACTTCTACGCGGGCACCAAGCTGGAACAGGGCAAGGCTCCTCATCAGCAGCAACTCCTGGCTGTGACCGGCGAAGCCCACCAGGGGTTCTTCCCTCATCAGGTGCGAACGAGGAAACAGCATTCTTTTTTAACACGTTTTTATTAACTCGCTTTCTTGTCCGTTTGTTTGTCCGGATCAAATTTTTTGTATTTCACTTCTTCCCAACAATCTCCATGCGCACGTGGTTTTGAAAACGTGGTTTTTTAGATTAATTTTTTAATCTACTAAATTTTATTCCATTTTATTTATGTGAGTAGAAATCAGAGTATTGTATTGTGTTGCAAATTTTGGGCATGCACGCCATGTACAGTAAAATACTCTGGTGTACTAAATTTTTAGAAGCATTTTCCCCCCTCCTCAAAATTCCAGTGCCAGGAACCGCAGCAACTTATCCTATTCTGATTGCATAGTAAAACCTTGTGAAGGTTAAATTTAATTGTTAGTATACAAGCTGTTCCTTTTCCATTAATAGATTAGATTCAGTTCAACTGTGTGTTATCCAAGTTATCCTCATTATTCTTGCAAGCCTGAGCTGGTCCAGTTGTTTATTCATATATATTTGCGTGAAACACAGTTTATCCCTTTAATGTAGGAATTCCAAAAGGAATCCTGGTCCAGTCCCAGACTGATCAACTTGTTTTATTGTTCATCAACGAAATACTGTACTTGACATCAACTTATATTGCAGCTTTTTGTGCCCAATAGCACCCATGCATGCAATTGCAAGTTGAGCCTCAAGAAGTCAATGAATGTACCTGTAATACATACGTACCTCCCTAACTCGATTTTTTAGTCAAGTCCCTGTCTGAATCCCCTCTAAAAAAAAAAAAAAAGCAAAATTCATTGAAAACGACGGCTTTCCCTTTCAAACCTCCAGAACTCGAATTATGGGGCCTTCTGCATGTTATCTTAGTGAACCCCATGCCTCCAATAAATTTTGGAGGGCACGGCTGTCTGAATCGTGTTGCATACGAGCAGAAAAATACGAATCCAAGTAAATATTGCCAAGTCTTTGTATTTCAGTCATTAAATTTATTAATTAATAATAATAAAATTGATTATAATAATATTAAAGGCTCTTTGAAGATCACAATCAATCGATAATAAATATGAACAATTCTAGTCCGTGATTCGCTTTATCTCTAGCTTGCTCGTAAAGCTTCATACTCAGGCTCCAGAACTGGAAAAATACTGTTATGCCTCGCAAATAATGCTACAGACTATTCAAAAATAATCTGAGATTCCATGTTCAATCTGATCTTTTTAGAACCTGTCGATTATAAGCGGCACTTGTTTTTTTTTTTTGGCCTCAAAAATGAGAATTCCTGCTAAGTTAAGTTCGCATCTCGGGGTCCCACTGTTCTAAACCTTGTACCCGTAAACTTAAATTGGTTCAATTGAGATTTTACTCCTTTTTTATCCCAAAGATTTCATCAGTTGGGAACAATCTTCTCCTTACGTGCAGATATGTCAGTCGCCGTTGAGACTATAAAATGCAAAATAGGCCATTTATTCGCAAAATAAAGGGTGCGGCCTGATCAGGAAATGAACAGGATTTAATGGTGCGGAGACTGCTGAATTTCCCCCCAAATTTTTCACATTTTTCCGCTATTTATATGGCTTTTTGCTCTTGAAATGCATGCTCAAAATCAGGGTGCAGCGTGTCGTTATTGCGTAATTTACGTGCGGTTGCTCCTAGTGGGATAGTTTTTCGAGGTGAAGATTGCCTGCTTTTAGAAGCCTAGCTTAACTTGAACGACGACGATGCTTCTTTTTTTTCCTATGGGAGAAGAAGAAGAAGAAAAAAAAGAGTGACAGAAGCGATAGAATTATCAGGTGAACCTGGATAACTCGAACCTCTTCAAGTGGAATAGCCCCCTAAGTCGAATTTTTTTCAGGTCCCCAGCTGAATCCCCTGAGAACCAATAGATTAAAAACCTCCCTAAGTCAAAAGCTTTTCCCTTCAAACCTCCATAAGTCGATTTTTCTGTGGTCTGTTTGCCATTTTTTTTTCTTGAAAAAATAAAGAAAAAAGCAGTAAAAACAGAAACAGTGTTTTAGAGGAAGTGAAGGACTTAATTGGGCAAATGAACCCCTGCCTCCAAGTTCAGCAGCCTTTCAACTCATTTAAGAAGCCATTTAAGCCCCAGAATATCATTCTAAGTTTTCCAGAAAAAATGGCTTTGTATTGTAGTTTCAACCTATAAAATTCAAAACCTCCCTAAGTCGAATACTTTTTTGCAGGTCCCATGAAATTCAACTTAGAGAGGTTTGACTATAGGTCCAGAGCCGAGTTTCATTCGTTTTTCGTCTATATTTCCCTCCGTGCACAACAGGGCTTCCCAGGGAATCCCTTCCCGCAATATGTGATCCTCGGAGACGGCAAACCGAACATCGAACTACCCCTGATGGCCCATCACGGCTCTCTTCCGCAACAAGTAGCCTCGATGGAAATCGACCCCTATCGGGGGTTTTCCGTCGTCCAGCCCTCGTGGATACCATCTGTCGCCGCCGCGGGGGCGCCTCCGCCTGCTGCTGGCCTAGCCGGACTCCACCTGGCCCCGGCCGCAGCCCTTTGGCCCTACGCGCAAATGGAGCCGCAAATGAGCGTGTTTGCTGCTGCTGCGGCGCAAAACCAGCTGCTGGGCAAGCGAAAATTGCCTGCGATGCCGTTCGGGCTTCCAGACCATCATCATCAGCAGCAGCAGCAACACCACCACCACCACCACCAACATCAGCACCACCATCAACAACAACAACAGCAGCACCAACAGCAACAACAACAACAACAACAACAACAGTCGGCGTGCTTCTTTCCTTCGCAGCAGTACATGATTGCTGCTGCGGCTGCGGCTGCACAAAACGACCCTTACAAACGCAAACGCCAGTACTGACGACGTACTCTTTTTCCTTCTTATTTTTGTTGAAGCATTTTTATTCTTTAAAAAAAAAGACAGGGAATCAGCGTTGATTTCAATCCATTTGGCGATTGGTTGTCGATCTGTGCGGACCAGAAGCATTTGTTATGGCAGGAAGATTATCTCTTAAATATGTTGATAAAAGTCCGATGGATTTGTTTTTAGTGAGCGATTTGGAAGATACGGTTTAAACGCAAAGCTTTTGGAGCATTTCTTTTTTTTTTTTTTTTTTTTTAAAGCTGGAGATGAGAGGATCATTGTTTGTTGGAGAGGTTGTTACAGCAGAAGTTGAAGGACTGTTGAGCGTGGTTGTGAAAGCTTGGACCAACGAATGACGTGGAATGTGTGTTTCGGTTACCTGGGTGATGCGTGCATCGACATTGTTCCGTGTCCTCCAGAAAAAAAGTTATTATATTGTGGATTAGAAAAGAAAAAAAGAAGAGATTCTATCATATGATGGCACTGCCAGTTGTGATGTTGAGACCAAGAAAAAAAGACCTGTAATCTGTTACGAATATGCGTTTCATTTTATTGATCCTATAGATTGCTGCTAGAGCAATTAGATAGGACGTAACTTTCCAAGATGGGGGAAAAACCCAAAAATGAAATATGGCTGGTGCTGCTGAAAAATTTTGACAATAGGCCATTTTAATATTTGAATTGAATCAAACAACAAACTTTATTTTCTGCTTTTCAGCATTCACAAGGTTCAAGCAATGTTCCCACATTCATTCAAACACATTCTTCACATCAGAATGTACAACAGATAAATAAGCTGTTCATGGATATCAAAAGAAAAAATGATAAATCCTGAAAAGAGCAACCACACAACTGTTGTAACTACTGTCCATGCACTTTCTTTCCTTCCCTGATAACAAAAACAAAATATCAGTAATAAAAATTGCAGCATAAAGCAATTACTAAACCCAAATTAAAGCACAAGGTGTTCAGCCTGCTTCCAGTTAAGGTTTAGTTGATCAAACAATTTTGAGAGAGTCTTTGATGAGAAATCAGATAAGGTTTACAGATTATCTTGGTCCTCTTAAGATTTTGGAAAGAGTCTTTTCATTGAATTTTACGAGACTCAAATCTTTGAAGCTCATTTCTGTAGATGTGAAATGCTGGGCATAAGAAAAGAAGGTGCTCTGGTGATGATTCAACCAATGTGATTATACTGCAGAAATTACGCCATTTAGACACCTTTTAAAATTTAATATTTTGACAAGCTACAAATTGGGCTTTGAATAAAAGAATTTTTGACTGCAAAGCCAGTTACAAGGTGGACTCTCTCTACAATGATTTTGTCTACAGCAATTTTCTTTATTTAATAATTTTGTGTCTCTGAAGGATTAATATCCCATGTTTTTGAGGTTTTCTACAACAAAATTCTCTCTACAACATTTTTTTATGGTCCCCTTGAATTTAGCTGAAGAGAAAGTCCACCTATATTACATTTTTTGGGGGCTGTTGGTCTTTTATGATACAGTAGAATCTGATTACAACAAAGGGTTTGGGACCTCCAAAAAAGCTTCGTAAAAACGAAAATTCATTGAAACTGCATTGAAATAGCATGAGGGCTATTGGACAGGGACGAAACAAATCGTTGTAAACATGAAATCGTTAAAACAGTATTTGTTGAAACGAGATCCTACTGCACTTCATGTTCAACATTCATTTACCCAGATATGTTCTAAAGAATTTGTGAAGCAATTTTCTGAGGGATTTAGAACGCAGTAAAATTTAATTTCCTTAAGTTAACTTCACATTACTCACTTTAACAGCATTTCAGGGCCTTGGAACTGAACCATCCCATGGTACTTTACAATGTCCAATGAATAGACATTTTGGTTATTGCACTTCCCATACTGGAATGCATCAAGTCCATTACCTGAGGCAACCCTGTTAAGATGTGGACTGATTTTCTGTCCATCCCTTAGGTGTTGGTAGAAAAACTGTTGAAGCCTTAAATTACTGTTGATGCTGTAGAACTGTACTGAGATGTTTCCCTGCAGCTTGATATTATCTGTTTCTAAAAAGACTGGTCACATCTTCGAAAAGCCCGCCCCTGTCACCTGCATTTGACCTCGGTTGAATAACAGAAGCGTCCGCAGGAGGCACACGATATAAATTTTTTGAAGAGCGTACTCAAATGTTTCTAGATGTCACTCCAAAATACACGAAAATGTCACATTCATATGCCCTCAAACTACTGTGCAACATTTTCGGTAATTTAAAATTACAAGAACCACATTTTAATTCGTTTAGCCAAAGAAAAGAATGTGAGTGCTTTTACATTATTTGTCTTTCCTGAAAATGCTGTGTTCAATCACGAAGAATCCTCAGAGACTAACGAAACGTTTTATTGCAGCATAACAAACAAATTCGTTTTTGCGATCGTCTTAGCTCAATACTGAAAGCGCTAATGCAGCTCGAAGAACCTGAAAATAAATATAGTCAACTGTCATCTTTGTTTGAAATGAATTATTTTTGCCGTACGTCAGAAAAAAAATGGTTTCCAATATCTTGATTCTTGAGCCATCGTTCCATTCGGAATCCATTATAAAAATAAAATCTCAACAATTGTGGCGGTCTTCTCACCCGCAGTATAGACGCGAATGATGCGAACATGAACATGCTGTACTTTAAGCCTCGAAAATGACAGCGGACTCGGAATAATTTGAATGAGAAAATGAAGTCACAAGCAACGGGAATATTGATTCGATTAATGATGCTTCCACCAACGCAGCCGGGAAAAATGTGCCGTTTTATTTTATTTCCAAGATTCTAACTGATCCAGGGGTTCATTTACTGATGAAATATATCGACAGAACGTGTTTTTTCCAAAATTCCATTACATTAATATAGTAAAGCTATTTTTAAAAAATTGCTACCTGATTTTAAAACACTGAAGAGCCTCTCAATACGTGAGTGATGCGACTTCGAGTGGAATGGAAAATGTATTTCAACGCCATTGGAAACGTGCTCCAAATACAGTATACTCAAATAAATTAGCAACGAAACGTCAAATTTATCAAATAACATATGATACCCTATTTGCCGTTTTCAATCGAGTACCATGTACTTTTTTAGAAATTTCAATGGAAAAATAATGTGTGCGCGGTACTCAGGGATCAATTTTTCAAGGAAAAATACCCAAACCCAGTGCCCCTCAAGTCCATACGTGTATATTTAAGCAAAGAACTAAATAAAACAAATAAAAATAAAACGAAGAGGAAATATGTGGAGCCAAGTCTCTTTGCCCATGGGAAATAATGGTTCAAGCAATAACAATTTTAGGAATAGTTTGTATCGGTTGGAAATACAACAGGGACTACAAGAAAGTAAAATAAGGGGGAAATATTAATCTAATTGAGGAAAGTACAATGCAAGCACATTTCAACTGCTCCTGCACACAATAAAAAACAGGAAATACAAAGTGTCGATGGGGGAAAACAAGTTGAAAACTATTCTGGATGTCTAATTTACTGTATGAAAAAGTTTCTGCATGAACAAAATTCCACATAGAAACTTCTTTTATTCCCAAGTTTTCAGAAGCGATCACTGTTTATAGACACTGTGGTATGGAACCTCAAATAGAAAACACTAGATTGTGATGACGGAAAATTTTATTTCTAAAAATGACGCTGATAGTGGATGCCGATTTGTATGGCGGACATCGAATCCACGCAAATAATTGTAATTCATCAAAATTTATAAAATGGCATATGATTTCTTGAATGGCATTCATCGAGCTAGAAATCCATCTTGCGAGGCAGAAATGCATCTTGTCCATTATCCGAAGCTTGCATACGTGTTACAAATTTTAAATACTTAAAACCATGCAATAAAATCCCCGGGGGCAGAAATATTATATCTTTTACTGAGCACAGTACAGCGTGAGGAAAACATATTGACAGGGGTTTCAAGAAATCCATTTCAACTTGTAAAAAAAAAATTGTTGCACCAATTTCTATCCTGGAGGTAATACACATCATTGAATGAAAAGGCGAAACAGCTGGAATTCGACGTGGATCATTCTTGAATCCCCGACATGCAGCATTAGACGGGTTTCTTATTTTCACGGCCAGGAAACCCGGGGTTTGTGCCAGTCCGTTCCGCTTTGCATACCATCATGATCGCCTCATTTGAAAATCATCGGCCGTTAAAGAATAACATCCCCCCCCCCCCCATCCACCAAAATCCCTCCAGAATTTTCCTTCCTTCTAAAATGCCTACTCTCCGCAGTCAACCTTTCCTCGAACCCATTTGACACGACAACAATCACTTGTTTTTTTCATCTCGCAGCTTGACAAATATTCTCGAGAAAGCGAGAAAGTCTTTTCGCATGCGTATCATCGCTTCCAATCAAGGAAATATTGGGAATTCCGGCGCTCGTCACGGCCTCGTCTCGGAAATCGCATTTATGCGGGCCAGGAAGAAAAACCTACCGCCTCGTGACTTGAGTAAAAACAATGACCAAGAGAATAATCCAAAAGTGGATTATTCTAAGTCGCGATCGAATATAAATACTGAGTCCACCGACTGCAGTTCGTCAGTCACTTGCCCGACCAAACACGGGAAACAACATTTCTCGAATCAACCTTGGTGTCCTGAAAATTTAATTCGCTGCTCGATCGTTTATGCATCAGTGTTGTGAAGATTTCGTGACGAATTTCCAATGTTATATTTTACAGGAATTAAGTTATTTTGCTGTGATATACGTATTATGACTGGAAACATGAGAGCTTCACTTGCTTCATTGTTCTTCCTGGTGCTAGCAGTTTCTGCTCATCCAATCTCTGAAGAATACACCAGCGGAGGTAAATTTATAATTAATGAAGAATCTAAGCAATTTTTATACTATATCTCCAAAAATGCAACAACAAAAAAGTAACACACAGTCAGCTACGTCCTAAAAATGGGCTAAAATATCGTAATGCATTTACCAAAAAAAAAAAAAAAACTTGTCGATTGAATACAACGCACATAAAATGTTGCCTAGCACTACAAATGTGCACAAAACCTTCGAATAAGCTCTGATCATTTCGCTGAAAAATCAAGTAGAAAATTTTTGATTATTACAGTTTCCATAACTGATGAATATTATTCCTATTTATTTTAGTCTTCTCAATCGTTGGAATTATTTCCCCACTGATCAGCCTGAATGATCAACAAATCAATCATCTGTAAATTATCCAGCACACATCGTCATTCGCATGCGTTAATTATATTTTTATTTGCAAATAATGGGGGGGGGGGGAGGGAAGGGGTTAATATTATGAGGCTGGGATTATTTTTCGGGGAAACAATAAATGTTTTCACGAGAATTCATAAATACTGTGCAGCATAATATCGTTCCAAACAATCTTGACCTAACGAATCGTCAGTTTCGTCACTTACAGCGAAGTTATTTTTTAGATCCAACAATGTTACAGTATTTAAGTTTATTTGTAAACCCATTTTGCTGGTCCCTATGTTACGGCTTTTTTTCTCTTTAGAGAGCGAGAAGAGAGACACATTTTCAAGTCGATAAAAAGCTTTGTTTCAATCTTTCAAATTCCTCTTTTCTGCTCACCTGTGGCAGTTGCAAACCCGCCACAAACTTTCACGCTCCTTCTTGTGAAACGATCTACTGATGGCGAGTCTGAATCAGTAGGAAATCCCGAGGCGGAATTGAAACATGATGCAGCACCGGAGACTCTTTCAGAAGAATCAACCGTTGAAGAGAGTGCCTCGAAAGAGGCCCTTTCGTCAGTCTCCGGAGAATCTTCCGAATCGAGTGAGAATAGAGAAGGCGGAACCACAACCGAATACAGTGAGTCCGAAAGCAGCAGCGAGAGCGGAAGTCCGGAAATAATCGAGGACGAAGAAATTATCATCATTGTTCGAGGTACTGAGGCACCTTCCTCCGAGGAAGACTCCACAGAGGGCGCTGCTTCCGAGGAAGGAGCGAGTTCAAGTTCGTCATCCGAAACCCTCGAAAATAAGGAGGAAAACAGCATCCCGAAAACGAAGCGCTCAGTTCCTGATTCACCCGTCGTTCCCGGGGAAGAAGAAGAACAAGAAAAGCCGGACAAATCTGTGAACAAGCCACAAGAAGAAGAACAGGAAACAACAACAGTTGCGGAGGAAAACGCGTCACAGCAACAAGGAACCAAGACGAAACGTTCTGCTCCGGAACACGACATCCATGTCCTCGACGGTGAATTGCACGACGAAATCATGGACAAGATGGCAGAGAAGGAAAAGAAGGAAGAAGAGGAACATCCTGCACACCACCCAGTTAAAGAACAGCCCGAAGAACATGTTCCTGCAGGCAAATCTCGACGAGAAACGGCTGCCAATGAGCCTCAATCAGCTGCGGATCGGCAGGATTACGGCGACTACGTTCTGCCACCTTTGGGCGATGAATACGTAGGATCCAGTGCCCAAGACAGCTCATCCAGCGAGGAAAACGAGGAATATCCCGTCGAACTTTTGTGAATCAGTCGCAGTTTTTTTTAGAATTTTGAATATTTGAAGGCTTGTGATCTGCATTTCTTTCCGAAAGCATTTTCGATAACAGCCCTCCTTATTTCCGCGTGCCTTCAGTTTTCATGATCTATGCACTCTGGAACACATCTTCGGAATTTAATCTTGACTTTTCTTAAAAAGACTAACAAATAACGCCTCGGTCTTAACCGTGTATTTATACTGAATGCATTGGATTCTTGACGAATAAATTGAATGCTCCAACTTTAACATGAACTTCATTTACTCAACGCTTTAATCGCATAGGTGTGAAACATTGAGATATAGAACTCGTCATTCCAGTCAGCAGCATTTAATGGTAGAACAGTATTGCAAGTTGGAATAATAAGTTTTAAGTTATACTGGACAAAAGTCCAAGGGAAAGTCTCATTTCATTGTTTTTTCTTTGATGAAATATAATTGCAAAGCAAATTATTGACATCTGATCCACTGCACAACTCACATCAGGGGTTATTGTAAGCTAGTCCTGTAACCAAAATAATGGAGAAATACTTGACGATATTCGGGAATCTCTCAACAGAAATTCAAGGGACCAGAAAAATCCGTTGCATTTAGAGAACCCCTATACCTGTAGCATAGGTGAAAACAACCCTTTTCTTTAACTAAAAATAAATTCTTCATACAGAAAAAATCGTCGTTGACGAAATTTTTGTAGAGTCCACCTGTAATTTCACTTTCAATACAATGCAAATGCTTGGATGTGTGAATTAAACAAATTTATAAGAACTGTCCATCAATGCCAAGACACCGTTTTTTTCATTTTTCATGATCCAAAGATATTATTCCATGAATTATGCATTCAACTACTGCGGGCTGTTTAATTCACGGACCTAATGTTGAATAAAATCTATCATAACACTTCAAATAAAGTCTGCTACGATTTTAGCAGTAGAGTGACGACGGTTTTGTCTTCAAGAAAAGCTTTTTGGATGCCATGTACCAGCCGAAAGTTGGGACGGAAAAAAATAACTCGTAACATTTGCAACGGGCGAGTTTCATTTTAGTGCCCCATCCAGCTTGGGTGTGATTGGGCCTTTCACTTTGTTACCCTTTTCCAGTCCTGCATTGATATGTGAAAAAGAGAACATGGGGAGGTTTACTTACCGTATTGTTGAATGGTGACGATTCCAAGGATGTTATCCAGAGCAAAAATAATGCAAATTTCAACAAACGGCTTCCGAAGAACTATGTGTTCAAGGTACGTATAGAACGTAGTTACTTCAAATCAACAGGTGGCATTTTAAAAAAATCCATGCACTGCAAGATTAACCTATGAAGAAAAAAAAAAGCTCCCTCGTTAATGAAAAAAAAAAGATACGATTGGCAAAATCCCATCCTGTATTCATTCATACGTGAGCCTCAGAAATAAAATCTCCAAAAAATGTCTGTATACAATCACAAATCGGTAAAAGAACAAAACCACTTCTCAAAATCTCGTCTTCACCGTGCCGGTCAAACGCGCAACTCATCAGCCTCGCGGGAAGGACTAACTTCCCGCCAATCGGCAACTTTCGACAGCAGAAGAAAAGCGGAAAAATATCAGGAATCTTAGAAAAAGAACAAAAACATTCTCCGAATTACACCGGCTTTTCTCGTATTAAAAAGACGAACAATCGACGAAAAAAAACAAACTAGAAATCATACGCCATCCAAAAAAAGCAGGTTCTTCAAGTCTAACAACAAGAGCATGTCTCTCGCGTCCACTTCCAAAATAAAAATAATTTCGTAACGATATGTGAAAACATCGCCATTTGCAATTTCCCGCAATGCTCGTCCCCACTCCGTAAAATGTCGATCGGTGCACAACAAAATTAGATCATAAACGCATCGTTTCAAAATGGACCTGCGAAAAAGTGCCAACACGAGGACTAGCATCATAGATCTATACAGCAACGTGCTTCGATTTACTGTATTATTATGACAAAGGCAAACACTCACGAATTGCTAGCATAAATACGTCGTCGAAAATAGAGCCACTATTTCTCCTCATCACTTTGCCCAAACAGTGTTCCACTACGAAGGAATTCGGTTCAGATCGAACAGATTCAATTATCCTCACCGTTTATTTATTTATTTTTTGAAGTACTGTGCTAGACGAAGGATAGTCCATAGGTTTTGTGACTAGATAGAATAAATACGCGAAAATGCATTTAAATTATGAGAAAGCCATCAATGACATTATCCCTCAAGAAGTGACACGCCCCTACAATTTTCACTAAATTTTCTGCCGCTTCTCTCATAAGATAAATCAATGCATTTGCAACACTAGCTTTCTTCTCACGATCCGCATTTTACAAGGGAACAAGAAGTTTCAAGCACTCTTTCTTACCTGCTTATGAAGATAAGTGCGCGAAAATTTGTTCCCCAATATGAGTTGATGCAAAACATACACAAAATGTTAACCTCTGGTGCTGAGGACAAAAGCTCGGGTCTCAAAACGTATGGACAATCGCTCGCAGCTAATCAACGTAAAAATTTCACTAAGTGTTGGACAGGTACTTGAAACAAAATTAATGCGATACTCAATACTTGAGGGATTTTTAGTGCGTCCGAAAGGAATGAGTACGGTAATATGGGCGATGAAGAAACGACCGACCGGGATCTACACTTTCGACTGCAACGCGTACGAGAAAATCGGTCCGAGCTGGAGGCTATTGCGCTTGAACCGCTCCAAGTCCTCGAGGTTGACGAGCCCGTTGGCAGCCGCCACGGCCGCCTCCTGACTCATAATTTCCGCCACCCAGTTGATGCCGCCGACGGGCGCCGTCTTGGGACTCAGCTCCGGCGACGAAGTCCGCATCCAGCCAGCCTTAAACTGATCCGCGTCACCCGAAGTGGATCGGTCCCACACGAGACTACTCTTGCCTTCACGACTCCAAGTACAGGCTTGTTGGATCACGCGTCGAAACTTTTCAAAGTCCTTCGTGCCGCCCACGGTGTGGCGCCGTTTGATTTTCCGCCCACTGCCCTTTTTGCCGGTCTTGGCTTGCTTCAAGCCGGCACCGACAGTGTTGGCGAAACCGGAGCCGGCGGACAAGCCCTTTTCGAACATCTCCTTCAGCTCCTTCACGCTGGCCTTCACTTTTGTGTCTCGCTTGGAGTTGCCTCCGACGTTGCCGCCGTTTGAAGAAGTGATGAGCGGCAGGTTGTTGCCTTCCCGCGTCGGCAGTACGCCTTGTGAGATGAGCGCAAGGATTTGAGATCGTTGCGTTTTCGACAAGGACTCGGAACGAGTCAGTTTATCCTTATTCGTCCCTGAACCTGCGAAGCAAGACAACATACAGTACATTAAAAAAAAAGAACAGCTCGATGATCGACAAAAAATTCCTTGCAAATACTGCAACCTATTATCTGGAGCGAATGTCTCGCTCTTTAATCAAAAACTGTGATTGAAAACTTTGGTATGCTAATAATTAATAGATAGCGACCACTGAGGTAAGTAAAAATGCGGTCTACTATATATCTTAGATGGAACATTTTGCTAAATCGGATCAAAGCAAACAATTGCTTCAAGCCCACAATATAGACAATATAAAAAATAATTTTATCAGATATTGGCCATCTATTGGCGGTTATTCCAAATCAAGGTACATTTTCGGGAGCAAATGCCTACTTTTGAAAACTTCAGAACGTGCAATTTTCTATTCTAACACATCATTTTTACTTCAAAGAATTCCAATGTTTTAGGCCACAGTAGTGTAAATAAGGTACACCTCTTGCTAAAATGCAGCAATGTACCATACTTCACACAGAAAGCACTGCAGGTACTGCATACACATACAGTGCATTACTCCATTTATACGAGCATGAATATTTCTTCATGTTTCTGGCGAAGCACTCTGTCAGTACAAAATCGGTGAGTGTTTCAATGACAGAATAAAATACAGTTTTCGACACGACGAGAAGTAAACGACAGTGCGTCTCTGATTAGCCAGTGAACTTTCTCGGTTCGGATGGGTAAAAAGATGGCGTCTAGTAAAGTAGATGGCCTCTCTCACGTTTGCAAAACGTTGCGCATCAAAAAACAAGAATTCCGAAACGGACAAGTTGAAACAGGAAATACAAAAACGGAATCATGTGCGTGTGGTCAGTTCGACGAGAAATCGCCCCAGCATTTACAAATTTCGTCCAATCCGAAGTAAAGAACTCACCTGAGCGACCATTTTTTGATCTTTCTTCCCGTTGAACGGGACGACGTTCGGTAGACTTCGCTGAACGGGATCGTTCCTCGACCCGACGACTCGATTTAATTACTTGAGATCCCGATTCTCCGCTGAGATTTTGATTTGAATCGATCAGTGAACGGCTCGAGTCAATACTACTCCTGTCATCTTCCGAACTTGAGAGCTTCTTCGACGTCCGCAACGCAAAGCTGTCGCGCTTCTGAAAATGTGAATTTCGGCTTTTACATAACTCAACGTTTGAGAGCTATGTGTGCATGATTTTTACACTTGCGATGGTTCTGAATGCTGCCAATCGATAACCTAAAACCTGCGTGTACTCAATTTATGAATCAGATTCCTTGCAGGAGTAACATCCGTCACGCAGAGAGCGCAGAAATGAACACAACTATCCTTTTATTCCTCGTACATGAAGAATTATCTCCTAACACATCCGAGTTCGAATAACATCAAATCTTCTGCGACTACCGTAATTTTAATCCATTTCATTTATGACAGCAAAAATCTCAACTCTCACTAGACTGCTTTTTGACGGCAGCTGCGATTGACACACAATTGACACAAATACGTTGCTAAGATGCGTTCAACATCGCGAATTTTTCTGTGTAATTTTTATTTGATCAAAGCATGAAAACAGCATCGCACAAACTAGCGGAGAGACTCCTGAGGACAACAACCTGAAGAGACTGATCGCTGCCCACGGACTTCAAGCTGGATCCAGCCGGAAGAGCGGAAATCCTGTGCAAGCTCGGATCGCGATATTGTCGTCGGGTTTCGTCGGAAGCTGACTGAACACTTTCGGAGTCTTCCTCTTCAGTCTCCTCCGGGTTTTTCAGTTGCACCGACTTCGGACTCATCTTCACCGATGGCAATGGCATGTACAGGTTCTCCTTGCGATTCACCGACGATCGTAAGCCTTTCAAGCGTTCATCCAACGAAGCGGTGATGGACTGCATCAGATCTGTTTTTGCCAATCGGAAAATGCACGACAAGAAACAAAGAACTGTTAGAAGTCCGTCAACAACAAATAAAATAATTTTCCGAGTTTCACAGGTGCACAACCACCTCGCAAAAAGCACCCAAAACGAAACAAATCGAAATCTGAACGAATCAGGAAAAACACACGCTACGTGATTGCGAATGCAAGATAACGACAAAAGAGCGGCACTCCGTCACTCATTTCACAGAAATAACACAGTTAGTTTGGGAATCTTCCGCCGATTCAAAATGGGAGGAAAAAATTACCAAAATGGAAAAAACTTGCACGAAATATGCAGTCGCGTGAGAAGCTCTTCAAACACAAGCAAGGTTCAAAAGGGAGTCCATCAGCCAGAAAAAACCTTTTTCACGCCATTATAGGTCGCATTTTCGCCCAAAAAAGAAAATGTTGATATGCTTGGATGTGGTCTGTACATACTCGAAATTCGTTGGATGAAAATACAGTATGTATATCCTGTCACGTAAAATGCGGCAAGCAAAAACCATACCGTAGCAAAAGCACCCACGAAATGTTCACCGCGTTGACTGACAACGTTTAGTGAGGATTTATAGAATTGCATTAATTTTTGATGCATCATAATTCTTTTGCAATTTACAAATAAAATACTAATAATGTTGAAAGAGTGCATTAGCCGTATTTTCAACTCGAAATTCCATCACAATCCTTTTGCGGAATACAGCCCTGTTTTCTCCTCAAGAAATAACCCGCAATACTTTTACAACATGCGGCCTATAATCGCGTTAATGCGGTGAAGGAAAAAGGAATCGGATTCAGGTTAGTTCGCAAGGCAGGAATTGGTGGGGAAGAAAACCCCCGACTGTAGAAAAACTAGTACCATGAGGACCGACACGGACTTTCTACAACACTGCTGCTCCGTCGCCCGAGATGAGAACCCCCTACAAGGTGCAAGTACGATCAGCAGGAGCAGCAGAACAAGAAGCCCGCTGGCCGAACCCCCTCTCGAATGGAAACCAAATTACCAAGGATGGAGATGAGCGAGGATTCTCGAGCGCAAGCTGGTACTCAACCGTCGTCTCGCTGCTCGTTTCCATCAACCAAACGAAGGGAAGAGAAAAAAGAAACCATAGAAACCAGGGTGAGAAAGTAAAACCGGGAAGAAATCCAAAAGAGAATACACCACTTGTTCTTTTCTTTTTCAACGTCAACCAAAATAATTCTTGAACTCCTCGAAACCACCTGATATACGGGGATCTAAAAAACGCGGTGGGAAAACGCGGTTCGCAAAGAATCATACCTTCTTCTTTAACTTCTTGCGCAGGGAGGAATTCTCGCAGGGAATCCAGAGATCCGTAACGAACGTGATGAGATGGCCGACGGGCAACAGCTGAAGCTCCAGCTCCGTCAATGGCATCACAAGCTTCTTCTGCTACCGGAGACATCACAATCTGGGGTGCAACTTGCTTCCCGGATGCACTCGCAGTCGAAGAAACTAACGGCTGCAATGAAATTAAAAAATTAATACTTCCACATGGAACGAAAATTATTTTTCAAGCGAGCTCATTCATTGAATTGATCACTCCATCCAGAGAATCGTAATTTAAAAGACAAACACCTGAGTTCGAGGGAATCGAGCCCGTCGAAGCGTGTCTTGAAGCACGATTTTCGACGCGTCAAATACGGAAGTGCGACCGGAAGCGGAAGGCGTCGCAGACGTTTGCGCGGCCGGAGATGACAGGTTCTCCGCAGAAATGCCACGCCGAAGAGTCGCCCCAGCCTGGAAAAATCTGTGAGCAGGAGGACGCAACACAACGTTGCTTGCGATCGGGCCAGCACCAGGCTTGTGCGGCTGCATGTGCGGAGGAAGTCCGCTTGGAAGCGGCAACGGTGCCATCATTCGCGTCTTTGGGTAACCTGTTCACAAAGAAGATGAAAAACACGGTTATTCACAATCATAAAAAATTTTCAAGACTGAAAGCAGAAAAATACGCCAAGTAAAATGTGATTTCTAAATTGTGAAAGTAGCAGAAGATAATTTAACACTGTTTCAGAAAGCAATCTACAGTTTTCTCATCAGGTCTCCATTTCCTATAAAATATACTTCCCGACATAAATTGGCTGAAATCTCCTTATACAGTACTATAACATTTCTCTCATCATCGCGAGCTTAGCTTGATATTAAATCAACATACTTTTTTTTCAAATCGCGGGATCACAGAAAATACAATTTGAAGCGAGAGATTTGAATTCTTCTGATGGATGAACAAGGAAGACGCCACACTCACAAACTAGAGAAAGGAAATCTGGTTTAACTAGCTCATTAAAGCGTAACATTACAAATAAAAAACGAAGCACTTAGTTTCTCAGTGTTTTTTAATCGGATATTACGATTTTTACGTTTGTCCACGAAATCAATTAATCTTTTTTTTTTCTCAACAGCAATTATAAAATGAAAGATACTTTTTAATATGAAATCAATTCTACGCGTATTAAATACAAAGAAGAATGAAAGATTCCCAAGAATCGAGTCAATGTGATTTCGTCAGCCACGTTTTCGTGGTAACACGAACGCAGTCAACGATACGACTGAAACACAAGAAAATCGATTGATTTTAAAGATTTGAAAAAAGCGTACTAGGCATGGAAGGTGTGTAGCTGCTGTCGGAGGCGACGGAAGAATTTAACCTCGCAGCCTCGACCGACGCACTGCTACCACCGCTGAGATCAGAACTATCCACACGACTTTCCAACACCGGTCGGATCTGCATTATAGCCTTCGTTTCCTCCTCGAACTTCCGGATCCGTTTTTGCGTGTCCGCGATCAGTCCCGCGTACGATCGGATCATCACTGAGCCATCTTCACTGGTCTTCTCCGGCTGATGCTGCATGCCAAATGAATTTCTCATTCACACGATAATTAAACACGAAAATCGAAACGAACCTGACGAGTGTCCATCTTTACAACGTCGTCAGCAGATGACGATAAACCGGCTGTATTTGCGGACAGAGGTCCGAGGGCGGGACACTCTGATCGCACTCGCATTTGGTCCGGAGTTGGCAGAGGAGGTAAAGACCGAGGTCCAACGTCTTCTTCGAGAACGGACGACATCGCCTCGTCGCTTTTGGTGACTAAGTAATTCTCCTTCCTCGTCAGAGGCGAAGACTAGAAAAAAAATTATTATAAAATGTTGCCAATACGACAGCCGGTTCATAAATATTCTCCGACTTACTGTCTCTTAATGAATTTGTTCGTTTGTTCGATTGAGATGGAAGCAACTTCTACTAATAAATATTTAATTTTTTTCTTGACTACAGAAGCGATTATTTTTCGAATGGTTAAAATTGAGAGACACAATCAAGTTAAAGACGCAAAAAAATTACAAAATTAAGCTAAAAATGTACCTGGTATTCTTAATTGCTTTTTGAATTCTCGGCAGTCCATCAAGCACAGTACTACTAAACATTTCAAATGCTGTAATTGGAAAACTCGCTTCAAAGTTTGCAATTGATTCCACGACCTCCGAAGAACTCGGATACCAAGAGCATCCGAGTTCTTGACGGTTCAAACATTTTTCTTCGGGGCATAAAGTTTGAACCATCGGTTGTAAAAGTGAACATGAAACAAAATCTCGGGTCCGGTGGATGTGAATATTCATTTGCGAACCACACGCGGAGAACCAAGATGAACGAAGGACAAGGAGAAAATCGACTCACGATTTCTTTCTTGGGACGCTTCCCAGACTCTGGCCCCGGGATACTGATGGGTTCAGAAACTGAGCCGGACTTTATGGACGAACTGCTCAGCTTCGTTTTCCGGTGAGCGGCTGAGATCACAGATGATACCAAGGAATTTTTCGTTTCGTGAATGCCTGCCGATAATTGGCTCGCACCGGTCATATCTACAAACAAAATGGTACTCAATCATTGACAATTTTCGAAGGCGACACGCGCTTGAACTAATGCTCCAGTCGTTCGCGAAAGAAGAGACGAACAGTGTGACGAACTGTATTGAACTCGCGCCGCAGAAGGTAAATTTTTTTATTAATATGTTACCATAAAAGAATGATCAGAAGTTCTGGAACACCCCGAACGTAACTGATCAAGCACTTCGGCAATTAAAGTTACAGGGCAGGAACAAGGAAAGTCTCGCTAAATTTACATTTTTAGAGGCAAGGCTCGTGAGTATCCCAACATCGATTTCCAGTTCTGCCCCTCCCAGCAGACTAATCACTCGCCTCCCACGAACTCAAATTTGCATCGCATCTTTCGTTTTGTGTAGGAGGCATTTTATTTTTATTTTCTGTTTCACCCAGGCACATGACGAATCGGCGAGAAAAAAACGAGTCCACAGCGCCGCGCCCGCGTTGGAGTATGGAGATCGACACGCAACTCTTCTCGCGCTCAAAAATTTCCTCATTCCGTATTCCTCTGAGATCCGTATCACAAGAACGGCAGAAAATTTTAAGCCGCTGATGTGAAAGTTTAGTTCTTTAAAAAAGTTGTGCAGCAGATGTTGCAAGAAAGCGTTAAAAATAACCATTGCGTCTGGGAATCTGTAGTTTTCTTGCAACAGATTTTCATTTTTTAGCCCTCCAGAAACATTGGTAGTACTGTAATATGAAAATATCCATTTGGCGAAATATGTGAATACTGCATGACTAGTGAGTTTGTTCGAAAATATTCTTACATTGTCTAAAAATGCTGTAAATGTTCGTATATGCACTACCCAAAAATCCAACTCCTTGATTTTCATGCCCCAACTTTTGCCTCCCGGTTATAATAAAAATTCATTTTGCCACTTAACCTGAGCTGACTCGGTATTTTGTACTACTGTACAAAATATAATATAGTATACTTGCTATGGTACATTGACTTCCGAGGCTCGAAGATACATTTTTAGGTTCAATTCATGGATTCGTTGCTCTTGTAATCTTAAAGCAATAATATAACATAAGACGAGTTATGCTTTCGGCGAGATAATGAGGCTCAAAATACCGATAGTACTAAAATTTTAATAAAATAATTGAAAATAAATAGTATTGTTCGAATCTGTATCGACAGTTACTGTTTTTAAACAGCACCCGATTAAAAGTCCCAAACACATACGACACTTCGCATTGTTGGACGATTCTGAATTTTAACTGAAATCATTCGAGTTCTCATTCTGATAGTACGAAGGATCTCTGAGAGAAGCAAGCACATGGAATTGAGATGATATATAACCGGAGCTCGTCTTGAATCCTGATCTGCTCATATTCTCTGATGTAGTAATGATAATTCATTCTATTTTAAGACAGAGACCGGGTTAATCCTCCGCATCAGAGTTGCACAACATGATTTGATATGAGGAGATGAAACGTCGAGTGGAAAAAAGGATTCCTATACTCTCGCGGCGGGTGGGAGAAGGGAACAAGCATCTCTAGTTTCCTCTCGGCGGATCGACTTACCTTGAATCCTGATGGCGTTATTCAAGTACAAGGAATGATTTGCTGACGTGAAAGACGGGGACTCCCTTTCGTCTCCGCGGCGCTCTAAAGCTTCGTGGGGAATCCGCTCAGGATTCAGCTCGTCGTCTTCCTCGAAAATCCACTCAGCCTGGAAGATGGCAGAGAAATCGAGTTCAACAATATTCCCCCGCCTATTTTACATGCAACAGTTGAATGCTTAGAGGAAGACTCACGGCGACAATGAGGCTCTCCAGGATGCGGTAATGATGCGCCATGTCTGAGACCATGGTGGAGACCTTTTGATCCGGGCCTCGAATCAGGTTCGGACCAAAAACTATTGCCAGGTTCTTCGGGTCCATTTTATTCACAGCCTGGTTGGCGGAAAGCTTCGCCAAATGCAGAATGAGGTATCGCAGCGTCTCGTAATTGACCTCCGGAAGTGTTCGCACCTTCAAACACGAACAAAATTCTTTCCATATACCATGCCGAACAAACACGAACCTTGACCTCTCTGGCTGCGGCCAGAAAAAGCCCCTTCAGCAAATGCGTCACGGAGTGCACAATTATGCCTTCATGAATAACTAGCATACAACTTACAATCCGCATGACATCACTGAATACTCCAGCACAGGTCTTCTTCATTTCATTGCGAGCGAACGAACATATTTCTCCTACTCCTGCAATGAAATCTCTCCCAGAAAACTGACTCAATCTGAACTATCCGAAACTAAAAACCTGATGGATTCAGACAAAATTCTGGAATGTACAACCAAATTAGAGACTCGAGAGAGAAAATACCGCAGTACGAATTGCAGGAATCAAGTCAACGATTTAAGAAAAGCAAGTAAAACCCCACAAAAATATAAATACAATTAATGGTTTACTTCTTTGGGTTCGGTGGACATGGATTCTCATGAGTTCCCTTCATAAAAGTGAAAGCAATATCATTTCTACAATTGAAATACAGTAAATCGAATAATTTTACGTGAGCGTGGAGTTTTCACGAAATACAACAATCTGCATTACGGCGGAATTTTCGCTCGCTTGGCACTGTCGAACGTTATAAAATTTCTCTTGCATATACTGTTCCGTAATTTCAGCTGCTATTTTGTATGCTGCTCAGGAAGGACAGACATGAAAGGTCAGGAGATAAACCCCACCGGAAGTACAAAATTTTTGCAGCGGATTTTCAAGTGAAACGAGCTGACACAGTAATAAAGTTCGATCACGAGGAAGCTCATAGCGATTCATAAGTGATTGCTGCTCATAAAAATGACATCAAATCCGGAAAACGGATGAAAGAAATTTACGTATACAGCCATCGTTCAATGGCGATCTAATAGGATAATGTCAATAACGAGGTATATGAACAACAGTAATACGACTCTTACCAGCTTCTTGAGTTGAAGTAGGTGATGCACCGGGTCTTCGATGGTCGCAGCGTCCATGAATGCTGAGTAAAGATGCGACGAGACCAACGGGTCCGGAAGCTTGCGGAAGAAGGACTTGAGCAGGCTCGAAATAACATTCACGTCAGACCATTTGGCATCCGTCATGTCCACCTGATCAAAGCCCTTGTTGAGCGACTCAGTGAGCGCCGAAACGGCCGCACTATTCCCAGGCACCCGATAAACCCCGATCGTATTCAGCCCTTTGCTCTCCACGATCGAGATGCACACTTCGACCAGTACAGGTAAACATTCATTGGATGCGCACATGGGGCAGTTTTCAATCGGGATCCCGATCGTGGCTCCCTCTGGAATCTCCGCCAAAGAAGATGCCGAGTGTCGCTGGGATCCACTCGTATTGTGATGCTGAATCCGCCGGAATTGACGAGCCACTCGACCGCGCCACGTCCGCGCTTTCGGCGATGGCAAAGTCGCATCCAGCGACGGTTCGGGACACGACAGTGACGCAGGTCCGGATGTCGACATCAAAGAGGCCTGGCTGGGTTTGCGGGTCTTAGACACGGGACTGTGACCCGACGGAGATCGGTGCCGAAGGGAAGTGGTGAGCTTCTTGATGCCTTTCGGCTGCGCCACGCTGGGCGTCGTTGCGGTGCCCGCGGCTAACTCGTGCGTGCTCTCGTCGCATGACCCGAAAACCGCACCGGCATCCTGTTGATCATGAAAAAGCTTTTTCTCTGCATCAACCGTCAACACAAAGGAAAACAAGGTCAGTCTGAAATAATGCTCTTTTTCCCACTCGTCCTAACTCCTCCTGAAAAAACGCCAACAAAGAGGAGCCTCATGACGCGAACATCCCGCACTTTTTACAATGGAGTAGACAGGGATTGAGCGCAATTAAGTCTCCATAATGCACCCAATAAACTATCTTTCACTGAATACCTTACCTTCCTTTCTTCAAGAAGTTAATGTTGATGAAACGCTGGAAGCTTGGTTGTAAACCTGTTTCAGGCCCATAAACTCGTAAGGAAACAAATTTCTGGCTCGAATTAACCTTAACCATATTGTATGGAAGTAGTTTTGAACGACTGACATGTCGATAGCTAATGAAAGCCACGTGGAACTCGGACAATGTTTGTCCGAACCTTTTCAAAACTTTTGTGAAAAAACCCATGGGAACTTCATTCCCGGGAGTCTTTGTATTTTAATGTGCGTGATAATCATAACAATTCTTTTGAAACAAGACGCAACACTGTGATTGGATTTTCTTCGTAAGAAATTGAATGAGCTTTACATGCTGTATTCCCTCCATTCGAGGTGCTGCACAACATCTAAAATCGCCTGACTTCCAGTGAGAGAGGGACACCTATTTTCTTCTCTCGAATTGACAATTCAAGCACAAACGCTAGAAGGAAAAAATTATTGCGACATCCCCTATACCTACGCAAAAAACGAAGCGCATGGGAAACACGATTTGATGTCAAGCTATACATCCGCAGATGAAAGCCAACACTTGGCAGCTAAACGAAGATGTAAAGCATCTTTGTGACAGGCGAGTACACAAAATATGTAAGACATCATTGAAAAAATAAAGGGGGAAGGATTCTTATTCACAGAGGGAGAGACCATGCAGTTGAAGTGTCGCGAGTCTAATTAGGGGGAGAAAAAAGATCGGGTTTCATCAATATATAACAAGACTAACCTTGGCGACACCTGCGGCTTCTTGAAGGCTCTGCAACCACAAGTTCAACTCGGATGCCGTGTCAGCCTGAAGCAAGTACTCGGACTGCGGCGAAGAGCGGAAAATGCGAAACACGTTCTTCTTTTTAGTGTAGTCCGATGCCAATTCCACGCAACTGCCGCGAACATCCACCGCAGGCTGCTCCTCAATCCCCAGCGGAGACTGCAAAATAAATCATTCTCTTTCCAGTATAACAACATTTCCGAAACGATTCCCCGTTATGATGTAAGGTAACAAAACAGGCAAACACGCCTGTCTTCGTCGGAACAGGACGAGAAATTCGAAACGAAAAGCATTTCTAAAATATCGGGTCAATAAGCACCCTTTTTCTAATTTTAAGCAATTAGCGTAATAAATACGCGTTTACATCAGGAAATCTTTCTGTTCGCGTCTCAAAGACCAATGGAGGATGTTCTTTTCTCAAGTTCTTTTGGGATTGAACTTGAAAATAAACCAGAAATAAATGGTCATTGGTCAGCTTTTGGCACCTCAATATGCATGAGTCACGGATTGAAGGGGAAGAGCAGTTATTTTGCGTGACAATTTTATTTTCCAGGGAAAACCTGCATTGAGTCAGAAATGTTAGGTTCACGGAAAGTCAGAAAACCAGGAAAGTACGTGGGTGCTTATTCGATTACTGTACTGGAATTTTTGATTTTGTGCATGAAAAAACCAGGGGGCAGCAAGAGAAAAGAAATACAGCAATATAAACAAAGAAGTAATTGAAAGCACACCGAAGAATCTTCCAAGTTTGAAAAGTCGGTACAACTTTTTGCAATACAGTACTTTAAAAAATATGCTGGAGTGTGACAGTACAGTACTGCACTTCCAATCAAGTATGCACTACCAAGCTTTACATTTCTCTTCACTTGAATCTACTAAGACAAAGCAAGTCGAATTTTTAGATAGATTTTCACTACGATTTTTTTTCAGAATCTGGTCATATTTCAACGAGACAGATCGGACGAACTTATGAACAAGTTCGTACAGTATAACAGTACACACATACGGTAAGTGATTTGATGCATGCAGCCATCAATAAAGTTTACATGACAATTTTGCAACAGTTTTCCGCAGAGGTTTCACTTAAAGTTTGATGAAAGATCACACAGCCATCTAGCAAACGACTGCCAACTTTGTCACAAAACCCAACAATGACTATAATACTGTACTGTACAATACTGTACTATATTAGCCTTGCAACTCGCACGCATGAAGAAAGCTCAACAAGAAAGCTTTTCTAGATCAGTGAGAGATTCCGAATCTATCAAATGAAAAACCAGCTTTCCAGCAAACTGAGTTAAAATAGAGCTGCCTTCAAAAAAGTATTCACGTTTGCACAACGCGAGCGATTCTCTTTCGGTCTGAAGTAGAGCAAGGACGACCGCAAAACAGCGTATCCAGTTTTCCAGGATCGATCTCCGGCTCGCTGCGAAGTACGACGGAAAATTCAATTAGCCTAGAACAGCCGTGCTTCTCAAATCTTCGAGCGGAGATTCCAAAATGGGACTTCTGCAAATGTCACTCGTCTAATATCAACACAAGGTTGGGAATGGTTTAAAATAACTTCAGTCCGTTTGACTTTCCTCACGCATGGACGGTACGTATCAACCAACGAAACGAGATGATCGAACTCGTCTATTGAAAAGTCCCCGAAATAACCGCTCAGTCAGCTCAAAATCTAATCTGCCAGCAGAATTTTGAAAGGAAATAACTTTTCATACGGCGAATCATTCAGGCCGGTATAGACGAACCATCCTAACGCAGAACACACAAACATTCCTTCAAGGTTTTTTTTTATTTAAATAAAATTTGATCGGGAATAATCGCTTATAAAGTATGCTACATACCACGTCATACGTCAAAAATTTAGAACCACAGTTCTAGAGTTATCATCAGACCACGGCCTGAAGGCAAAATCTGGGTCATGAAACGAGCTAATCACACAAATAAAATTGAGTACAATCACTGGCGTTAATATTTCACAGAGAATGCTCAGACCTTGAATTACAAAAGTTGATTATCAAGTGCCCCGGATTTTACTGATAATTTCTCAGAGCGATCTTCAGAAAACCAGCGATGAACTTATAGAATAATTATTCATGAACTGACGCTTTTAAAAGAACGACACCACAATGGCATTATTGTACTGTACTTATTTAAAAAAAGAACAGGTCTTCCATTATTTTCAGAACAATGGGCTAGGAATTATTGTGAAGGTACTGCACTTGCACTTCAAAATAAATTTTACATTCAGATGTAAATGACACGGAGATTCATGATGAATTGGGACCGGAATGTTCTTTGAATGGTACGAAGGCTGAATGACTTGCGTTGTGGAAACTTCTAGCTCAGTGAGAAAAAAAAATCAAGTAAATAAAAAACGAAAACGGAGCTTTTGGATTTTGCAGCTATTCTCGTTCAAGTGGAGAGAATAGACATCCTTTTTCCAATGTCACTTTCCAGAGACGTTCATTTCCTGACAAGAGCTTATATTCGAGAGGGTGTCAAAAGATATTGCCGGGGCTTTTCTATTTCGAAAAGAAACACAGCACTTTAAGTACTGTCGTTACTTTCAGTACCTTCGGACGGATTTTCAAAGCAGGACTTCCGTGTTCGTACTTAGCTGCTGTGTTAGGCTAAAAGAGACCATAACAACCCAATTTATGAGGATCTACTTTGGATCTCTTTCGATGATTTTTGCTCACCTGATTTTGCAAGATAAATAAATACTTCGGCATTAAATTTGATCAACAAGGTCACGCATGCACGGCATAGGAAAAACAAGTTCAGAAGGCAATCGGCGCCCTTTCGACGAGCCAGGTAAAAAATTAACAAACGCAGACGCGGCGAATAAAGCATTTCTCGCGAAACAAAAATCACCTAAACAATTAATCAATCAAACCGGTGGTTTCAACTCACTTTGCCGTCAATCATGACCGTCTTCAAGCTGAGGGTTCCTTGTCTAGCCACGCTGTCTTCGAGCCCGAAACCCGCCGAACCCGGCTGGGAACTGGCCTTGACGCAGTTCGGGTCGCTCTTGTCGCCGAACAAGGCCAGCAACCTGTTGACCCCGGATTGCCCGCTTCCTTCTCTGCACCGGCAAAAGGGATGACACGAGAAACGATCGTTCGTCATTACATCGTAAAAGCTCATCACTCACGTCCCCGATTATAGAATTTTTTCCTTACATTTGAAAGCTCATTCCGTTCACAAAAAAAAAAAAAAAAAAAAGAAAACGGGGGATCAAATCATTCAACTACTCAGAATAAGAGGCAATTACATTGAAAGAGTTCATTGATGACGAGCATTTTAGAAAGATCATCATGCCCAACCTATAAAATACATTAGAGCTCAGATTATCCGGGCTAACGACCGGGTGCCAGCTTAGTCTAGAACGCTAGAATGATCAAATATAGATGAAGATACTCCTCGGTAAGAAATAATTAAGACACAAAGAATCCTTGCGTAGTAACATCGTATTGAATGAACAGATTATCAAGATAATCCCGCAAAATCTTAAAGCGCAAAGTTAAACAAACCAAAGAAAAAAGAACGACATAACAAATGGATCACATATGGCTCCCATTCGTATTAACGAATCAACATTTCCGGTATGAGTAATCAAAGCCCGGATAATCCGAGTTCTTCTGCATCATAAATCAGCTCTAAAATACCCATAAACCCAATTAAGTCATCGCTATAAACAAATTAACAAAAACATTTCGATAAGCTTGCAAGATTCTGAAAGAAATCGTTCATCAACCAGCATTGAAGCAACTAAATGTCATGATGTTCGAAGTCAATCGACGAAATTGACGTCAGTGCAATTAACTATGTGAATATTCGTCTAAAAAATAAATGTTTTTAGTCACGAACAAAGCACCCACAATGTGCCCAACGATGGAAATGTCCATGCAAAAAAAAAGGCCATCAGCATTGAAGTTGAAAATCATTTGTTGAAGAAGAAGTGTTTTCCAAGTGTACGGTAAGCACGAAGTGCTATGTCTGCGCTCCTTGCTGCGTTTGAGGAGCTCCGGAGCCGAGTTAAGGAGTTAAATCTCTTGATTCGTAGTGTTTTGCTGTGACAATTCTAGTGTAGCAAGAGAATTTTCTGGTACTGAATTTATTTTTAAGAAGGTTCGCTAATACCACAGCAAACTTCCGGGACATGCACTAGGTCAAATCCAGTTCGATGGCCAAGGAAGAAAAATGAATGGGTGAATAACTGCGGAAATATTTCTAGGTAATCCCTAACTAGCCACAGGACGGACGACAGAGAAACGGCAACGATGCGATTTCATTCTGCGTTGCTGTAACAGAGCAAATCGTGACCACCTCGGGATTCCTCCGAGAGAGANGAATAACTGCGGAAATATTTCTAGGTAATCCCTAACTAGCCACAGGACGGACGACAGAGAAACGGCAACGATGCGATTTCATTCTGCGTTGCTGTAACAGAGCAAATCGTGACCACCTCGGGATTCCTCCGAGAGAGAAAAAAAAACGAATTTATCGTCAGAACATAAATCGACGAGAGAATTTGATGCGAATTTCAATCTGAATCACGCAGCGAACATTTCCAAAGCCGTATTTGACACGAATACGATCTCATCTGGGACTGCTCCCTCCTTCATCTCGCAATACCAAGAACTGTTTTTCAGGGAACTGAAGAAATTTGATTTATCGAGGAATAAACCATTTTTTTTTGCTGTCCACCGTGAATTTTTTTTCGTTACTTTACCAAGCTTGATCATTAACAGCTGCAGCTTGTCGTCGTAAATAGCGATAATATTTTTCCACACTTTTTCGCTACATTTCCAATAAATACTTGGGAAATATTGTCATGTTCATAAAATGTTATGTTCATGAGAGCTTCAAAGAAGGTACGAAAGTGAATAAGGATATAACATCCACAAGTATTCTCGCTTTGTCCTTTCAAGCTAATAGGCAAAGAAGAGCCACATGTACATTTGAGTGATGCCTGTAACAAATGACTCAATAAAATGAATCGCGATTTTTGACTTCCTGCTTTCTTCACGATGACGCTGTCGAATAAAAAATTTATCAGTTTTTTCTGTCACGGAAATACTGTGAAATGAAATATTTACTGGCTTATTCTTTTCTTTCTTTCTCAGCAGACGATAATTACTAAAGCGGAATCGGTGAAGACGAGGACACGTAATTAACGAATGATTCAATAGGAAAAGCAGGACGTCTGAAATGTTGCTTCATTCTTGATAAAAAAAATGCATTAAAAATTCCAAATAATTTTTTTAAAAATTATGATATTTTCACGGGTGAATTACACTCTTTTCGTGTTTCTGTCATTCTTCCGCGAATAATTTTTCAAGCAGAGGAAAATTACTGAAGCTGCAACAGTAAAAAAGATGAAGCAAAACATGAATAAATTTATCGAATTCATAAAGATTTTGGCAATACTTTGTTCTCAATGAAGCAATTCCAAAAAAAAGTATTAAACTTTCATCTTGACGAGAACATGATATAATTAAGGGTAATAATTATACTCTTCTCGATTTTTCTCGAAAGACTGTGGGAAAAAACAAAGGCAAGAGAAATCAAGTAATTTGCGTTACCTAGCTAGTTTTAAAGCAGGAATTCGAAAATGTTCTGATTCTCAAAGAAACTGCTTTAAAAAATTGGCAGTTCGTCACAAGAAAACGATTCAATAATAACGGATAAAACATTTAAATTTTCTCTTTGTCTGAGAGTCCGTGTTTAATAAAGAATGATTTGAGGGTGAAGCGTCGTAATTCACAGATAAAATACTGTACAGCAGAAGTTCGGAAATGCTGCTATATTTTCAACGAAACCGCTTCGAAAAATACTGCATTAAAATTGCGTCACAAGAAGACGATGATATATTCAAGTGTGAATTATTCCCTTCGTGATTTTTTTTCTTCTATTATGCTTTCGCCTAAACGCTTGCGACGAAGGAACAAAACATTTAACGGTAAAGAGGAATGAAGTAATTCACGATTTGCGCCGTCAAGTCTTCTTTTTTTTTTTCAGTGACGGGGAACGGAACGTAAATTTTTCCTGAATTCGTGTTCCCTCCCGGACGAGTTACGACAATGCCTCACCCTTCGGCACAACTCTGCCTCCACTGCTGCCGTCTTTGCAACGTCAGTTTCTGGCTGAGAGCAGTTTTCTCTTCGAAAAACAACCGCAGCTTCCTGATGCGGCCACGGGNGGTAAGAAATAATTAAGACACAAAGAATCCTTGCGTAGTGACATCGTATTGAATGAACAGATTATCAAAATAATCCCGCGAAATCTTGAAGCGCAAAGTTAAACAAACCAAAGAAAAAAGAACGACATAACAAATGGATCACATATGGCTCCCATTCGTATTAACGAATCAACATTTCCGGTATGAGTAATCAAAGCCCGGATAATCCGAGTTCTTCTGCATCATAAATCAGCTCTAAAATACCCATAAACCCAATTAAGTCATCGCTATAAACAAATTAACAAAAACATTTCGATAAGCTTGCAAGATTCTGAAAGAAATCGTTCATCAACCAGCATTGAAGCAACTAAATGTCATGATGTTCGAAGTCAATCGACGAAATTGACGTCAGTGCAATTAACTATGTGAATATTCGTCTAAAAAATAAATGTTTTTAGTCACGAACAAAGCACCCACAATGTGCCCAACGATGGAAATGTCCATGCAAAAAAAAAGGCCATCAGCATTGAAGTTGAAAATCATTTCAACTTCTTCTTCACAAAAGGTTCACATGCCATTCGTGCTTCACGATACAGACGCGAGGAACGACGCAAACTCCTCGAGGCCTCGGCTCAATTCCTCAATTTAGAGAACTAAGCATCACAAAACGACTGACAATTCTAGTGTAGCAAGAGAATTTTCTGGTACTGAATTTATTTTTAAGAAGGTTCGCTAATACCACAGCAAACTTCCGGGACATGCACTAGGTCAAATCCAGTTCGATGGCCAAGGAAGAAAAATGAATGGGTGAATAACTGCGGAAATATTTCTAGGTAATCCCTAACTAGCCACAGGACGGACGACAGAGAAACGGCAACGATGCGATTTCATTCTGCGTTGCTGTAACAGAGCAAATCGTGACCACCTCGGGATTCCTCCGAGAGAGAGAGAGAAAAAAAAAACGAATTTATCGTCAGAACATAAATCGACGAGAGAATTTCATGCGAATTTCAATGTGAATCACGCAGCGAACATTTCCAAAGCCGTATTTGACACGAATACAATCTCATCTGGGACTGCTCCGTCCTTCATCTTGCAATACCAAGAACTGTTTTTCAGGGAACTGAAGAAATTCGATTTATCGAGGAATAAACCATTTTTTTTGTCCAACGTGCATTTTTTATCGTTACTTTACCAAGCTTGATCATTAACAGCTGCAGCTTGTCGTCGTAAATTGCGATAATATTCTTCGACACTTTTTCGCTACATTTCCAATAAAGACTTGGGAAATATTGTCATGTTCATAAAATGTTATGTTCATGAAAGCTTCAAAGAAGGTACGAAAGTCAATAAGGATATCACATCCACAAGTATTCTCGCTTTTTCCTTTCAAGCTAATAGGCAAAGAAGAGCCACATGTACATTTGAGTGATGCCTGTAACAAATGACTCAATAAAATGAATCGCGATTTTTTACTTGCGAATAAAAATTTTTTTTTTCCACGGACATACTGTGCAATGGAATATTTACTGGCTTATTCTTGTCTTTCTTTCTCAGCAGACGATAAATACTAAAGCGGAATCGGTGAAGACGAGGACACGTAATTAACAAATGATTTAATAGGAAAAGCAGGACGTCTGAAATGTTGCTTCATTCTTGATAAAAAAAAGCATTACAAATGCAAACAAACATTTTTAATGATGATAGATTCACGGGTAAATTACACTCTTTTTGTGTTTATTTCATTCTTCCGCGAACAATTTTTCAAGCAGAGGAAAATTACTGAAGCTGCAACAGTAATGAAGCAACAGGATGAAGCAAAACAGGAAGAAATTTATCGAAAAAAATCAAAATTTTGGCAATACTTTGTTCTCAATGAAGCAACTTAGAAAAAACTTATTAATCTTTCATCTTGACGAGAACATGATATAATTAAGGGTAATAATTATACTCTTCTCGATTTTTCTCGAAAGACTGTGGGAAAAAACAAAGGCAAGAGAAATCAAGTAATTTGCGAATGGATCGATCAAATAAAGCAGGAATTCGAAAATGTTCTGATTCTCAAAGAAACTGCTTTAAAAAATTGGCAGTTCGTCACAAGAAAACGATTCAATAATAACGGATAAAACATTTAAATTTTCTCCTTGTCTAAGAGTCCGTGTTTAAGAAAGAATGATTTGAGGGTGAAGCGTCGTAATTCATAGATAAAATACAGCAGAAGTTCGGAAATGCAGCTATATTCTCAACGAAACCGCTTCGAAAAATACTGCATTAAAATTGCGTCACAAGAAGACGATGATATATTCAAGTGTGAATTATTCTCTTCGTGACTTTTTTTCTTCTATTATGCTTTCGCCTAAACGCTTGCGATGAAGGAACAAAACATTTAACGGTAACGAGGAATGAAGTAATTCACGATTTGCGCCGTCAAGTCTTTTTTTTTTCAGTGATGGGGAACGGAACGTAAATTTTTCCTGAATTCGTGTTCCCTCCCCGGACGGCAATGCTGTTACGGAGTGGGAAGCCGTGTTGAGACGGAGGTGACGACGGCAGAAACGTTGCAGTCAAAGACCGACTCTCGTCAAAAGAGAAGCTTTTTGTTGGCGTCGAAGGACTACGCCGGTGCCCGAATGAGCTCGATCGAGGCCGGCTTGACCGAGCCCGGAGCCGAGTCGCTCTCGGGTCTGCATCGCAAAATCGCATCGCGATTAAACAAATATTCTACCCATCTCAAGAGAAAAAACCCCGCACCCCCTCCTCTTTACATGAAGCGGAACGAGAAAACCACCCGTGTCCAATAAAAAAAAAAATCTCGCCGTCTCCAACTTTTCATTCTCATCCGTCATCATTCTGAAAATGGCGACGAGTACTTCCCGGGAAAACGTACGATTTTATTTCATTTCATTTTACTCTGGCTAACTCAAGGAATTTTTTAGCCAATAGAAAGCACACGTAAGAAATCTATAAATTAAACCATCTCGAGATGAAGAGAAACACAACTGAGAAAATCAGGCAACGCCAACTGTATCATTAAACAATCCACTTAGTCGGAATTAATTTTTAAAATGTGCGTATTTTGCACATTTCCTCACACATGATCTAATTAAATCAAATTCAAAGTAATTGCCATCTGTTAGTATTGCAACGAAATATGTTTGATTCAATGCAAATTTGATGCTGCAATCAGTGTGTCAAAATATATGTAAATTCCATATAAAAAGTTTTGTAATGAAACCAACTCAATCAATCAGGGTATTTTCCGTATCTATATACATAGTAGGCACGACACTGGTGGTCTTTGGTCAAGAGCCACAGAAGGAAAAAGTGAAGGCATACCAAGGGGTTCAGTTATCGACAACAAAACTTGAAAATCCTCGCAATAACTACGACGAATTTTAATAATTCAACTGAACGTAATTTAAGCTTCGCCTAATGAATCCCACATTCATCACCCTAGTTTCAACCAAAAGTATCACCTTCACCCCAATATTCATCAGTCCCAACAATAGTCGTTAAAATTATTCAACTTTGAAATATCAGAAACCAACTTGAAGTAAAGCAATTTCAGGGATGACGAATATGTAGTAAGAATGTTCGCTGCTGGGACGTTAAAAATACAGTAGATTCGAGGGTAAATAAATGTATAAAACTTTGTACTTAAAACATGAAGTTCTAATAATCCTGATCCGATGATCTGGAAAGTGGTGAAGGGCAATTTCTCCTGTATCTCGATCGAATCCTACTCAAACCTGACTGAATACCTTGCGAAAAATACTTTTAATATGTACTGGTAATGAAGGGTGAAAAAATTACATCACAAATAATTTTGGAGACAGTGAAATTGGACCTGGTGGAAGTAATTTTTCTTCATATGGGGACGAAAAGGTAATTGTGAGTTGAACTCGATGTTCTTCTACACATTAAATCATTCCGAACTCTTCCATTTAACTTCAAGTGGAGCAACGACATGTCATAAATTTCCAGCCCTCGGATATGAAAATTTTTTTTCCAGAAGCCTTCGGGCAAAATTCGCCCTGCCTTCATGGTTGCGGTGGGAAACCATGAAGGGTGGCGGTAATTAATTTTACGTCTATGGGAACACCAGAATAATTTAAGAAGCAGAAACGACATACTTTGAAATCAGCAATAGCACTTTTTTCTCCCGACATCCGCGGATATTCGTAGCCACCAAATATTTTTCTGCCCTTTCCTACGCAGTATTTCGGAGGCAATTCAACGTTAATGCTGAAGGCGAAATCTGAGACATTGAAAAAAAAGTTTCTCATCACGTTTTCCCGACTTTGTGAGAGCCTAATTTCTTAACCGTTTTATTTGCTAGTTTCCCACGGTTGTAGAAGATATTGTACTTGAAGATGTGTAAAAACTCTACGAGGGAATGAATCATGGGAAGGTGGTGACGTTGTAAAGGGATAAGTCGAGTCGCATGGGAACAAAGTTTTTATCAAACATCATTCCGGAGTTCCACTGGGGGACTCATCATGATTCTACACAACAAATGCTTAAAAATTCAAATTTTCTGGAGTTCTACAATCACAAGTCAAAATTAAGGATGGAATTCTCAAATAAAGGGCGGCACTCGTTTTTCCTCAACGGGAAATGAACTTCGGTTCACAAAACCCGACGCAAACGCAAACATTTTCAAAGGGAAAGTCCGAAAGATGCCACGGCAAGAAAACTAGCGAAATTATTTTGACAAGCGAGCATAAGATCGCAGTTAAGCATAAGTAAATCGATTTACTGCTTCAAAAATATTTTGCTGAGTTCTCGAAAGTATAAAACATAATCAAGAAAATAGGATGTACTGTACAGAGAAATCTTGATGTGAGATTCCGAAAACCTAGACGACAAAAAAGTCCACTCGCTCAAGTCTTGAAAACGTCAAATAGGTAACGCTTAATTTCCACCAACTTGAGAGTTACTTTGCAAGAATTAAATCACCCAAAAAATGCATAAGAAAACATCCAATCTGACGCAGAATAATAATGTCGGGCGAGCAGAAAAAAATTATAAAAAACCGATTACATTAACTATCGCTTAGGCAACGTTTAACTTTTTCTTAACGAATGCCATGGCTATAAACCGCTAACAAAGTTAGATTTTCCGCAAAAATGAAAAAAATACCCAACAATTTTACCAAAGTTTTCAATTGTTCAAGAAGTTGCTTTACAACAGAATAAAATTGAAAAAAAGTTGTCCAAATCAAAATCACAAGTCAGATTTTTCAAGTTTCGAAAATAGGAATTTTTGTAATCGGTAATCTTTTTACCCATGTTTTTCAAAAATTCGTGGAGGACGAATCCCTCCGCAACAAAATACAGCATCAAAAAACAAAATATCCTCATAGAAAATACAGTACTGTACTGTATTTTTTTGTCGAGGACAGTTCATATTTCAAGTGAAGATTAGCTCGGACCAGCAAACAATTGATTGAAAAGAATATTGTTTGTCTAACTTGTCAACTTTTCCTCAGGTGGACACTGTAATTTGGTTGGTGCCATCCAGCAGTATTTTTATAATTGTAGGGACCATATCCAATAGTGCAATTTGTACCTGCAATCCTGTCTTCCAATAGGACACCTCATTGTTGGACCACTCGAGAGTAAAACAGAAATCAAAGTAAGTCCCACTCCTCAACCACCAAAAAGAAATTAAAATAAAATAAAAACGTAGAGAAAAGGCCACGTCGGAAAAGAAAACATTTCTCTGACCTTTTGCCGTCCTTAGGCTTCGGCTCGACAGGTGTGTTGACCGGTGTGTCCTGAGCCACGAGGTCCACAGCTTGGTCGGTCGTAGCCTTCAAGTAACTGCTTCGACGCTGGATCCTCTCGGCGTCGTCTAGCAAGGAAAGCAGCCAGACACTCGACAGAGTTTCTCCCCGAGAAAGTTTCCGCGCGGATTTCACCATCATCCGACTCATTCGTACTGATTACTCAAGTTTTTTTTTTATCGTGGGCGTTCACCGCACAAAACAACAGCTTTTTCCCAGAAGAAAAAAAATTGCCGCATTCGCAAGAAACTCGATTACATACTGAGATTCGAAGAAAAACCCCATAAGATACGGTCTTTCGGCTAATGAGCTTGAACTTCAAAGGCCTCGCTTCCTGCGAAATTAACCTACGCGTAAAAGTCGCTTTTTCCGTTATTTTGTTTTTCAAAGAAAAAAAAAAGCGAGCAACCACGAGGCATGTAAATCCTAACAGCGAAAAACTAGAAATTAACTTCAGCGAAAAATGATTACAGTTAACGTGAAATTAACAACCAAAAACGCTCCTTGAAACATACAGTAATTATTTTTGCAAAACAGTAAATTAAAATAATATCCATTTCCGTTTTCAAACTCGAATGAAGATCTTATTTTATTATTAAATAATACTGAGATTCTGTTTCTGGCTAAAATAATTTCAACTACGAAAGATTAAACTGAATTCAAGAATTATCTTCTTGAAGCTTCGCCAAAAGAATCGATAGGATCTAACGCATATGCTAAAAAGTTGTCCGATCATGAAAATGATGGACTTGATGATTTTTTTTTAGTCAGCAAAAAATCTCTTCAATCTCTTCGCCCATGATGAGTATCTTCACTTTTAGCTACTCGGAGGGAAGCATAATTTCGAGCAAATACTATACTGTACAGGAACTGTTCCGCATGAAATGGTTAACCGAGGGAACTTCCAGGCGAATGTTCTCAAACTAAGAAAAGCAACACTTGCGAAAGTTACAGGAGTCTTCAGAACCTCTCCCCAGTTAGTATTTAGTTACGTAAAGGGACCAGCTGGAGGCAGGTTCGGAAGAATGTTCCAGAGAGATCCCGACCAGCATCGAGATCCCTCCTAGAGGGTTCTGGGGGATCGTCCAGAGAGGATCCGGTCTTTTATACCAGCATACGGGTTCTTGGCGGAGAGGAGACTTACCCAGAGGCGTCTTCCTTCTCCTGACCATGGGAGGGAGGCTGGCAGGATCCAGGCCATTCGTCAGCAACTCTCCCTTGTCTCTGCTTCCTTCGTCGACATCTGCGAGAGGAACCGAATGATCACCCATAAATTATTCAACAATACTCTTTCTGACCGAGCGAAAAATCTCGAAACCGGGTTCCGGCGGAGTTATGGACAATTCGAACCCTAATTATGTCATCATTCCTGAATTTCGGGAACACAGTGAACAACAACGAGTAATCCTTCCTCCAGCGCGTGAAGGGATTTTAATTTCGCTTCGGTCTTCGAAAACTCTCAAATAATCCGATCGTTATCGGAAAATATCCGAAACCTTTGAATCCGCAGAACTGAAACTTAATTAACTCGAGAGGTTTCTTGCGCAAGATATCAGAACATAATTCCGATAATACCGTATAGGTTCCAAATCGGCGAAAAGAAAGGCGACTCTTTCAGATATAAAATCAACGCCTTTTCTCCTTTCGACTAAACCAGAAACAACGACGTGATGCAACTTTCAGACACCGAGTAGCGTGATCAATCCGTACCGGGGTCTTGAATTATGTTCGGGAAAAAAAACGCAACACAAAAGAATTGGAAGTTTGTTCAGATTTAAAATATCAAAATATGGAATTTTCGGGAAATAGGAACCATTAGAATTACGTAAGCACGTCGCAAGATGAAGCCCGCTGTGGGTTCACCATAAAGGCATTCGATGTTGGAAGAACAATCGGACAAATTCAACGAAAGGTATTTTGACGAAATGATGGAAAAAAATCTTGCCTCCAAGAAAATATAATCGAGAGAAACATTTCAGGCTTTTTTTTCAACACCGCAGATATTAAAATACAGTACTATATACAAAATTATGTTGAAATTACCGACGCTTTCACAAACTAACTCACACATAATTTGAACTTCTGCGTACTGAAGCATGCACATCAAATCAAAATGCAGCCAAAAAGGGCAAAACTCAATTCAAAAATGCGCTCATCTACATGCGAACATCAATAAATTCATCTAATTACCGTATATTCAATTGCAAAGGCAATCGGTTTATACATGTTCTGCGAAACTCACACGAGAAATCGCAATGTACAGAACACGAAATCCGGATAGTGAACTATCACTACAATAATCGCATTTAAAAAAAAAGTTTCCTATGCGATGCATTTTTATCGTCTCATCCAAAACTAGCCCAAGTGCTAGATTTCATGAAAAGTCGAAAAACTTATGCCATTAACATCTAAAAGTTCCGATATTCAATCGGTAAAATTCTCAGGGATGAACGTACCGTATCAAAAATGGAAATACAGTAAAACCAAGTGGTGTAATCAAACTTTCCAATCTTTAGTTTGCCCGAACACAGCATGTGATGGCGTGGAAAAACTGATATATTCCAAAGTACGATTTTTTCAACCCGCTGAGTATCATTATTGGATCCTGTCGATACCTGCGCTTAAATTAAATTGTGAGCAAAGCTAGCTTGCAGAGGCATACGAGCAAACTACAGTACAGCAGTGAATGGATATAAACGAAAATTTGGCGAGGCCGGGGAATCTACGACACAATACAGACCTCGACATGCAAAATCAAAAGGCGTCGGAGTCGGCGTCCCGTCATCAACGTCATCCACTTCCTCTTCCCGCACTTTCCCCATCGCATTCGACACATTCGCCGCCGGTCGGTTCGGATTCTTGATCGGCAACGACGTCGGCACCGGAGGACGCTTCCACACGTCCGCTGGACTCGGCGGCGGCGGCTGTTGCTTATCCTGCTCCTGATGATGATTATGATGATGATGAAGTAGACGCTGATGATCTCGCGACAAGAGCCCGTTTCGGACGATCGGCGAGATGTCATTGAGATCGACGGGCAGCGAGCTGAAGCCGCCAGAGTCGAGTAGCACTGGTGTCGAGTCGCCGCCGTCGTCGTCATCGTCGCCGCCCAGGGACATGCCGGGCGAAGTGGCGTCTGTCGGTGTCGAGCTCAGCGGGCCCGACGAGTTGTGCGACAACGTGCTTTGATGGTGGTAATAATGCGGGTGGTGCGGGGTGTCGCAGACCGGACTCGGGGCCGACATGCGGTACGCAAGCGAACCAACGTCTATTCGCAAAAAAATACGCAAACCAAACGGAACGGAAAGAAATAATAATTGCAACCAAAACATCACACCAAGCAAAAGCTACGCAAACATAAAAACTAGATAAAATTCAATATCATACCTACGTCTCACCTATATGCAGCAATGTCAGCATTTCGAGTCGCTCATGCAATTCAGCATCACACATTGAGAAAAACAATATACGAGCATTTTACTCAACGAGGCATGAAAACAGTTCCTTAAACCTCAGAAGTAGCTCACTTACTCGAATCTATGACCGAATTATTTCACAATCATTAAAAAGAAATAATCAGGGTTCCAGTGAAAAGTTGATGGTGACTTGTTCGCGTACTTCACGCCAAACGACATCGTCGAAGTCAATAATGCGAAATAATATGTGATTATGTCGAAATCAATAATTTAATTAATAAAATTGTATTAATAAAATACGTTTTATTTCAATGAAACGAATCCTCACTGCCATTTTAGCACAAGGGTACAAAACTAAATGCATTAAAATACTCTATTTTATTTTTGAAATGCTAGGAGACGGTGGCTGAAGCATGAGTAGAATTTAACAGACCCCTATATTCCCGAAGAAATTAAAAATAAGTGCGTTTTACAATAGCCTCTTATTTAAATGCTGTATAATTTGATTGAAGAAATTCAGACGATAAATTGTCCGCGATTGATTACAGGGGACCAAGGCTTGAAGGGTATTTTAGAGAAATTATTGTGTTAAAAAATTATTCCACGAACATATGTTTTACAAAACATACCGTACGTCTCCCTTTCATAGAAATGTAACGAAATGTCTTTCCGTGTTTTTTTTTCCACTCGGCCTTAAACGAATATGAACGCCTCAAAATGTGCTCTCGCACTAGAGATGATTTACAAGGTTTTGAGAACAATGCATAAACTGAAAATGGATCAACGAGACCTCGATCCGTCACGAAGAAACATGACCCGCATTGAAGCACGTGATGCTTAATAGCATCAAAATTCATCGTGGCTCGCAGTGAGAGTATTTTGCACGAGATGGATTGAAAATGAGAATTTGAGAGCAAGCAACCACATAACTTCTGCAAACGTTTTAACCTCAAAATGTCGACAGCGTCGAAAGACGAGTCTCGAGAGGGATTTAAAAAGCTACGAGAGAAATTCAGCGCATCGCATGCATAATCCCTAATCAGAATCAGTTCACGCTCAGAATAATGCGTAATCAGAATCAGTTCACGCTCAGAATAATGCGTATTTCTACGGCGAAGGCGTCTCAGAAAAGTGAATAATTTAGCATTTCCTCCGAAGATTACGGGTAAAAATAAATACAGCGTATCCAGTTCAGTATCACACTGGGAAAACAATTTTAGACCCTTGTAGAAAATTGAAAGATTTTCCAAGGGCATTCACTAACTAAAAGAAAACCTATTTGAAGAAATCTCAATGACCGATTCATTCATACACTCAAACCAGCACGAAATTTCTTCCACTATATCAATAGACCCGCTATTTTGAATAAATTATCAGTACGGGACCAAAATGACTTCCAGAAAATCCGTCAGTTTTCCCGAAGCTCGCAGAATCATTTAAAATACATCGAGTTGATTGCAGCAGCCCACTGCCAAATCAAAAAGAAACCCGGTTAACCGTCTTCCGCCTTTCGCTGTCACGGTTGTATAACCCGACAGCGCAAATATTGAACATTTGAACAGTATTTTTACTTCAACAATGAACTTTGTCCCTTCGCCATGACGACTCGCTCGCCCTCGGTTCTTTCAACCGACTTCCGAATAAAAAGCACTTTCACCGAATCCAGCCCTGCGTATCAGGCAAACCTAATTCTGAAGTGGAAGGGGGTCGATTTAAAATTTCAAAAATAGAGTATATACCGTACCGCACTTGAAAGAAAATCGAATGAGGGCCCAGGTTTTTCACAAGAATCCTCCGAACCACCTCCGGATCAAGTACAAAACTCAAGAAAACTTTCCCCAGGGTTTTCCTAAATTTCCTTTTGAGGTCGGCAATTTAAATTTCAGATCATCCGTAAAATCCAGCATCACTTGTAAACAAAACACAGTAAAAAAAATGGCTGTAAAAGATTGAATATTCACACGAAGAATACTCATCAATCATTTAGAACAGTGTTCCCCAACCCGTGGTCCACGGAACGGAAGTTTTTTTGCCGATCTGCAGGAATTTTTCTTCATTATAAAAAGCATAAGTTGTTATGAAGTTTTCAACTGCTGAAGTAATTATTTTAATTTTTCATTCTGATGAATTTTTCTTCAAGTCCACCTATCTAATTTAATGAAGACATTTTACTATAGCTGCTTCCTTGGTTCTTAAATCAATGTATGCTGAAAAGCAGAAACGTTTTAAATACCTGCCATGAAGTCTTTCAAGCAATCTTTTTTTGAGTCTGGAAAAATTTCATGAAACTTTGCCAGTCGGCAGAAAATTTCTTGGAAAAGTGCCGGTCCATATATGAAATGTTTTATGGAAATTGACTGGTTCATGGGCCCAAAAAGGTTCGGGAGCACTGATTCAGAATATATCACAGCAATTTTATTCTTTAGATATTAACGGAACGTGAAAGTTAGGATACGTCAATTTCATTTCCGAAAACTTTGATGGGGCGCAATTTCATTTATTTTTCTTCTTGCCATTTCAAGCGTTAATCATAGAAGTGATTAGGAATTGATACGTAAAGTTGTACCAACCATTTATACATATTTTTCCTGACAGCAGCGAAAATTTTCACGATATTATGCAATTAATGCAAGATTACGGCATGAGTAAACCCAAGAATGACAAACACGCGTATGGTACACATTTTATAGTTGTATTTTTTTTAACGGCTCCGAACAAAGAGGGAGAGTATAATTTTGAACTAGAAATATGCGTTATTAAATTATACTGTAATTTTAAATGCATCCAAGTAAGAAGGCGCGTATAATTTTGAGCGCGAAAATGTGCCAGACATAACCATAATTTGAATGCGACATATTTATATATGATAAAACGTACTGGCTGAGTTGGACTTATGTTTTTGAAAGTACTGTATAGCCTTATGAACGGAGAACTGAACAGTTCCGGCGACCTTCGCATTGCCCAACGCGGAACCAAAATAGGGTAGGGTACGTTACTGTACTGTATTACAAATCGAAAAGGATTCGCTTCATGCTGGAAAAGCAGGCGAAATTAAATCAGCTTTAATTCTCAGGGAGGATCCCCAGCGACCGGAAATGCGTCTCACGGGGCGGATATGGCACGCGCTTCTAGTCAGTAAATTGGCTCGGCACAAATTGACCAGAGTGCAGTGGCATTCATTCCCATGGCAAAAGTGCGTCGCATGTCGGAAGTCGTCTTACTACGCAGCGTGAAACTTGCGACCTCTCCCCGACCTTTTTGTTGGGCCCGTCTATTTTCAGTGCTGCTCAGAAGCCACAACAACATAGCTTTGTTGACCCAGCTCCTGAAGAGAATCTTTTGATACCTGTCACGGCGAAGTTCTGAGAGGCTCCTGACTCGTTCTGGAATATACGATGCCAACCATTTACGCATTTTTTTTTCAGATAACCGCGGAAGTTTCACAATGTCGTTCAATTAATAATGCAAGCTTGCGCGAAGAGTACAGTTCACCCGAGAATGATAAACATGCGTATGGTAAACTTTTTATCGTTGTATTTTTCAATGGCTCCAAAGAAGAGGGCGTGTATAATTTTAAGCGCAATAATTTGCATGTCATAAAAAAATAATTTGAATGTCCCACTTCTAGGTGATGAAACTAACTGGCTGAGTTGACCTTCTGTTCTTGAAAATATACAGAGAACTCCAGTCTTGTTCTGGAATATACGGTACTAACCATTTATACATATTTTTCCAGACAGCAGTGGAAAGTTTTACGATATTATACAATTGATGCAAGATTATCGCATGAGTGAACCCAATAATGATAAGCACGCGTATGGTACACATTTTAAAGTTGCATTTTTCAATGCCTCCTAAAAAGGGGGAGAGTATAATTATGGACTTGAAATATGTGCTGTTAACATATAATTTTAAATGTATCCAAGTGAGGGCGTGTATAACTTGGAGCGCGAAAATTTGCCAGTCATGAACTTAAGTTGAATGCGAAATGCAGTATTTATATGATAAAACGTACTGGCTCAGTTGGCCTTATCTTTTTAAAAGTACTGTAGCCTTATAAACTGAGAACTGAACAAATAACTGGAAACGAAAAGTTCAGTTGATGTTAAGCCCTCGGAGTGAGAGCCAAGAAGCATGATCAAAAATGCCATCAATCAGGACCACGAACCAGGAAAAACAATTATCGAAAACGGGCCACAGATCCGTTGATAGCACCACAGTACTGTACTGAAAATAAAACCAAAATATAACGGAACTCAAAATCTATTAAAGTTCGCGTTCATCTGGGAACTTAAATGCCTTATCCGGCCATGGTCATCAATATAACCACGGACACTCATCTGTTGAAAGGAAATATTTACATTTTAATTGGCGTCAGCGATTGAAAAGACGTAAGGCATGCTCGCTTGGGCACATTTGCACGTTCGTTACAATATTTGTGAGAAAAAAAAAATTACTTGAGAATACAGACCCTTTATCGCAAACCATAAAAAAAAACTACCGTTGTTTCACTCGCAACGAACGAAATGAATCGTGGCTCAGCTCATTATTCAGTCAAACAAACCAACCAGAAGCGAGTTATTTATCTTGTCTTTTTCGAAGATCCGAAACAAAAATCCTTCACACGTGCAAAATTAAAGATTTCTGACTTCAATCGGACAAGATAAATATTATCATTTGTTTTTACTTTGCATTTTTTCGATCCTAAAGCAGCTGGAATGATTGCGTTGCTTTGAATGATTATGCTGATCGAAAGAAACATACATTTATTTATTTATTGTGAAATGCTCGTACATGGGAACCCCATTTGCTCAGTGGGACGACATCGCACATCGATAGCAATCCGAAAACAACATTGCCCGGCGGCCCATCAATTAATGTACAGTATAACCACTTCGCCCATCCGAGCCCATCAACAAGTTGTCGTCTGCCGATTGATCTCAACCCACCCACGATGTTTCTTTCCGGGAAACGTAGATGCAAAGAAACGTAATTCTTGCTACAAAAAGAAACCTACCGGTAACAAGAAACCACTTT